TAGAAATTGACAAGTCAATAGATTATCGACAACGATACAGGAAAATTATGGCCGTGTAGGAATAGTTGTGGTACCCGTTTATATCGCTTTTGAAGAGGTTAAATTTGTTCACAGAGAATAGTCAAATGGATCATGATAGAGTGAGGTCAGATCTATTATTCAAGCAGATTGCTGCTATTCATTTGTTATATCCATACTGACATATGATATAATAATAGATATACCTACAAGTACGTGAATCACACGGTTGATTTCATTCGAACTTTGAAGATCGGATTATATTCGTCCTCGGTCATACGATATTCATATAGCAATTGTGAGTTAGCTGTGTCTAGTTAACTATCGATTTGAGTATCAAAGCATGTTCAAACCCCCAGATCACAGAACAGAAAATACCACGAAAACTATAAGGTCTGTACAATCTCAATGTTTGGACTACCGTTAATCCACGTGTGATGAGTGACAGATGATGATTTGACAATCGTAACACTTAGATACTACGACAAGCGTGATTGGTATCACCAAGAGTCTCACTGCAATGAGAGGCTCAAAAGGTAAGTGTCACGAAAATACGAGTCAAGACGAGACATACATATATGCCGGCGGGAATGTTAGGATGAACACAGTACCTGCGTTGAAAGCCTCAAAGGATCAAGTCCTAGGTTTCACGGCAGCGTGGTATGTACTTTGTAGGACACTGGTAACACTTTACAGCATGAAATTCGAACCACTGCCGAAATTGGGGAAGCACTCGTTCGTTCACTGCGCTGGCAACCACGTTCCACCGTATAAGAAAGAAAAACGGATCTCTGGGGTCACGACACCCGGGATCGTCAAGCCGGCGTAGTGTTAATCTCTTTCTTGAAAGGATGAGAGGGCTAGAAGGAAAGAATCTCTGGAGCGAATGCGGAGAAGTGCTACTCTGCAAATTTTCAGGACCGACATGCTGGCCTGCAATTTCGGAAAGTGTGGGAAGAAGTTTTCGTGGAAATATTCTCGAGAAGGATGAACATTGAACAGCAAATTGAAGAGAACGAATCCGAACGCGTATCCACTCTCGAACCCAGGGGGGAAGATGAAAAATATGCAATTCACAAGTTCCACAGAACTAGTAAAGTTTTCTCCGTTCCTCTCCTCCATCGGTTCGCACCCGCCTTGCGTATGTAGATACAACTCCACCATGACGATATCAAGACTCGATTAGTTGGATCTGGGCCGATTATTCAATAAATTGAAAACCGCGTAAATAATATTGAACTTTAATGTACATAGTCCGTTAATTGAAGGCCAAAGTAAATATAGTATAAAGACCCCATAGTTCATTTCCGCTTATCGCCAGGAGATGTCTTAGACTCTTAGGGGCGCTTGATATCGACACTAACGCCATATTAAACCTCTTGGAATATTGCACGTGAGTAAACGGAGGATCTGCGTTTGCGTTATAATTAGGATGATCGTTGCGCAAGTTGAAAAAGAACGTTGAATTACGAATGTGATAAAATCTGAGGGCGGCGAGCGCGGAGATTTTTTTTTGTGAGAAATAGGAGAAAGGAACACGATCTCGTATTACCTCACCTCACCTGTTCGAATTTTGTTACTTGTCACCTACGGAAAGACGGTGTGATGAAAATCCGATTATCTTGCTTGCACATGCTTCCCGTGTACTGTACCTTTTCTTTTCCCCCCTCGAGTTTGAGTGGGATGCAAGATGTGTACCTGCAGATTTTTCTAGATGTCTTTGATGCACGCAATTCGCCAATGCAAGGCAAGATCTCGAGACTCGAGCTGACATAAGATTCCCAACCTCCTGAGCTGATGATCCATGAGATGAAAATGGGTATAATACGGCGAATACGAAAAGTGCGAAGAGAAAAGATCGAACATGAAGCAACAAGAAGGAAGGATTCTTTTCGTACGAAGTAAAATACCTCTTTGGACTGGGGCGGAATTTCAGAGTCTCTTGAAGCAAAATGAACAACACATCTGATTTGTTCTTGAACTCTGTGAAAATAATCAAAGATGGGTTTCAACAGGTTTTTGGCCCTTGTAGTGTGATCCTTGATCCTCTAGCGAAGCGAATAGAGAATCTATTTAATCTGAAACGATGGAATGAGATTGCTCGGACTAGAGTCTTGGATAGGAAACCACGAGGTAGCAGGGATTGTGATTGTGATTGTGTGAGATAGAATAGGACAATTACCTGCGAGGTTACCATGTAGAAAGTGGAAGAGTGGAATGAAGATGTCTAATTTGAAGATACCACATTTATTGAAAAGCTTCCGGCGTTTCGCTGATATAGACTCTAGAGGAGTAGAGGATTATAAAGCGTGTGATTCGCATGCGTGGTGTTTGCTTGAAGCTTTTTGAGTATGTGTAGTGTGAGTGTAGTGTGAGTGTATATGAGTAGGATTAGTAGATAGTAGCTATCTTCAAGCCAAGAGTTGATTATTTTGTTTGCATTTGTCTCTGTCGTCTTGTCTTGTGTTGGGTTGTGTTGCTATTTCCACCCACGCTCCTTGCTTGTTCCTGGATTCGCCCGTTTCCCGTGCGGCCGTTACTCACAGGCTAAAAAGGAGATGGCAGGAGCTGGAGTGCTTTGGTGTTTGGGATCGAAATAGGTTGGGTTGGTAACTAAGATAATGCATCATGATAAGGAAAGTGTAACTGTCTCGAGGAGACCGTGTAAGACGAATGATAAAAGCGGCCATGAACATTACGGTCTGCCAGGTATTCAATTGGTTGTTGGTCCGACGCAAGCACGGTGATGTATCAAAAGAAATCCTGCTGCTTTGACATTTCACACGCTTCTAGAACAACTGATCAACTCGACTGACTAAACCATCTAAATCAACTAATAAGACCTCAAAATGTACTTATCTATTATCTAGGTATGGCGTCGACTTAGCTTCCCACCTTCCAATGAAATCGAGATACAAAAACTAAATCTACGACATTTCTTCGAGTCCCTGCAACTGTGGTGACCCGCAGAAAAACTCTCGAGACCTCTTTGACGACCTGTAAACAAAAAGGCTTTCCAAGAATTCAGGTCCGATCAGTAACCACGGTCCCTTGCAACTGGAACCTTTCCTCTTTCAACTCTACGGACTTTTATTGTTGTTTCCTCTCCAATGTCTTTTCCATCACCTTGCATAAGCAGGGGACAGATTTTGTATGGCGAGAGACATAGCCTTCCTTCCCTTATCCATGGATCAAATGGTATGGGTTGTGGATAATTCGGGGAACAAGGTATAGAAACTTTGTCCAGATTGAAGGCCGTTCTGCAAGATTCATGCCCGCCAGCCAGTCAAATTATCACATCACATTGAAGGGTCGAATAGAGTACTTTGAATGTCTACCCTGCACGGCACTGTTTTCTCTGCACTGCTGTCCACACCAAGTACTTCGTCTATGTACTGCGTGCCCCCATTCCCCTCATTTATACGAAGAAAAGACAGCATGTGCGAGGTACCCTTAGGAAGAGCCCCCCAAATTTGTTAATTGCCAGGTTCTCATCAGGGGAGTAGATATCCATCAGACCATTCTCTTTGCTGACCGGTGCGAACAAATTGGCGTGATTCGAGAAGAATATCGTAGATCCTTCCTTCCTATTTGTCGAAGCGTTTCCCAAATCACAACTTCCTTTCTCAACGCCTTTTTCGATTTCGAACTCGAACTCGACTCCATTCGACTTCCTGTGGCTTCATTTCATTGTCGATAACTTTCTTTAACTTCATAACCCACGCCTTGCGCTTTAGCATTGCTGGATCGACCGACGGGCTCGAAGCTCATTTCTCATTTTTGGATACAATAGGCTGGCGATAGGATCTCGATTCTGAAACGACCAAAGAATACCTACCTACCCACAAGCTTCGAAAGCTTCCTTCCACATACAGTCCAATTCCCTCGTCAAAATAAATACTGGCACCCATTCTTTCAACTTGTACCTAGAGAGACTGGCTTCTCCCACAATAAGCAGGTTTGAAGATCAGAACGTTTGAGGTCGACGAAGGGATTTATACATTTTCTCTTCGACTTCAGGAGGCTATCGGGGATATTGGGAGAGAGGAAAGAATAGTTCAGGGAAGGCTTCATACCAATTCAAGGATCCACGCAGGCTTGCGAAACACCAAATGTATGTGAACGATTTCAACATACTCGATGATTACCCGTAGTGTGCCATAGTGAGGAATTTTCGGGCTTTTGGTTTAGCTGTGACGACCTCGTTGCATGGGATCATTCTCACATCTCATACTGTTATGACTTTTCTCAATTGATCACCAAGGCACACTATCTATTTGAAGTTTCTTTTTAGCCAAAAGCCCTTGAGATTTGACACCGAGACCATCTTGTATCTTGCCCTATGGCCCCTCTTCGTCTCCAGTCAATCTTTTGCCCCTGGTTCTATTGTGCTTTCTTGCTTTCATTGCGCGCAGGTCATTTGTCGCTGGCGATAGTTACTAATTGATTGTGCTTGAGTAGTTTACACTCTCTAAGATTGCCACAGTGCACATTCAACTTTACAGATTGCCTTGATTGGCTTTTTCATTCACTAGATACAATCACCTTCGAGCTTTGATATGCGAAAGTATACATCGGTCCAATAGATATTCAATCCTTCTTTACTTTCATTAACGGTTCCCAGTGAATCGAAATTACGCTCTTTAGCAATTTTGCATTCTTCTAACTTCAAGGTCCGTCCTCAACATCTTTCAAAAAGGAAAGAAAAGAACCTTGGAAAATCGGTACGCAGACTCAATCGCCGGCTGAAACTTTCATTGTGGCGCGGCATATCCTAGGAAAAGCTATTGGTCATTTGCAAGGTGGTGGAAAAAGAAACCTATTCAAGAGCGAAAATAATAATCTCAACGGAACGGCTTCATGCAGATACGAACGAAATAAATACACGGAAGAATTCGAGTGATTGGATATTGATCCGAATTTGCGGATACCTCAATATCATTTCACTATTGGTAGTACGAACGGTTTAATATCTCTATCAGATGAGTCAACAACAATGGGATGCGCCGACGAGGGGTGGATCGGTGAAGAGGGCAAGAGAAAGAGCGGCAGCAGGTAGGCCTACCGAATCGATACCTGCACCAAGACCTTATGATCCTTCATCGCCGAGCAATATTCCAAGTCCACCAAGAGCAAAATTTCAAAATCCACCGGGAACGTTCAAGAATGGTGGTCAAAGTGCAGTCGGTCTGGCGATTTCTCGACCTACTCAAGTACCACAATGGCCATTAATGGGAACAAATCCTGGTCCAGATTCTCAGCAGTATCAACCCCCTCCTAATCGCGGCCCGCCTCCTCAAAGACCACCAAGACCTAGTCATGTACCTTCAATCCTTGATTCGTCCAGAATACAAGACATTACCCCAACCTTTCAATACCAACCACAACCACCTCCACAACCCAAAAGTTTATACCCGCCACCTCAAACACGTGGCTCGCCACGAAATCGAGATGATGAATTTGATCAAAATTACCAATCATTACAATCGCCTCTGTCATCATCACGTCCTTCGACTGTTTCATCAGTTGGTACAATACCCGACTTTCCCGTTCCTGTACCAGCTATCCCACCATCGGCAAGGAGAAGTGCTAATCTAGGACCGCCACCAACTTCCCGAAGAGGCGCCTCGTCATATTATTCCCAAGCTTCTTTCGTCTCCCCAATCCCAGAGGTATCCGAAGGCATGGGCCTCAGTCCACGAACACTCCCTGGTTCACATAGTTCATATGCATCAAGTGCAGCTATACCCTCGAGTTGGGGACCAGAATCGCCTGGTTATTATCGATCCGATGAGGATGATGATTATGAAGACGATAGAAGGTTCGATGCAGTATCAGAAGGTCGGGAATCCCGAGGATCAGATGACAACGACGATCGAGGATTGATTAGAAGTGCTAGTATTGGCAAGCGAGCGAGACCGTCTATGATCGTGACCCGGTCCTCAGGTCAGATCGACCCAGCACGACTTGCTGCAATGCCTATGCCGCCATCTGACAAAAGACTGGGCCCAACACCATTACAAAAATCAACTCTCAGTCCCGCAGAAGCTCAAAGATCAACACAATGGCCAATTCTAGGAAATCCAAATTCACCTTTGGCTGGTGGCACTGGCCTTATTGACCCTACCCCATCAAGCTCTGACGAATCGGTTCCAACCGTCGCTATGGCCGTAACGACTGACCTGCCTTCACGAGATGGAACAAAGAGCCCGGGTGCAAGCGCTATGCTCGGGGCATATCAAGCAGCAAGTGCATTACCTAGTGACTCGATTAGGACTAAGTCGCCCTTTGCAAACGAGGGAGGACCTTTTAGCAGGCTATCAGCAATCCGTCGACCACCGCGTCTCAATATTGATGCGGTAAGGGAGGCAGAGGCAAGAGGTAGTTTGACAAGTTTACCAGATCTAATTAGGAGAGCAACAAGATTAGCGTCAATGATGGATCGCGGCAAAAGACCAGGAAGCCGAATGGGTCTTGATGATTTTCCAAGTGACAGAGACTTTCCCAGCGAGAAAGAAATTGAACGTAAGTGCTGGTCATGTCCCTATTATAATACAAGCTCTAACATATCTTAGTTTCTCCTAACTATGATAGACGAGGTTCCACCCTCTCCGGAATGTTATCAGCTTTTCCACCTCCCGGTCGTGAGACGCCTGCCCGCGATGCTCCACGACCTTTATCGATGTGGCCAGAATACGATCCAAACGATCCGAAATCTGCCGCACCTGGAAAGAAACAAAGAAAGTGTTGTGGTCTACCTTGCTGGGGGTTCATTGTCGTTTTAATAATTCTACTCATAATAATTGCGGCCGCCGTCGTCGTACCTCTTAAATTTCTCGTAATTGACAAACCCTCCACAAGTACCACTGCAACCGCAACTACTGTACAAAGCTGCACTGCAAACACTTCGACTTCCTGTAAGAATGGTGGAACCTCTTTCGTCGACAATGGTATTTGTACTTGTTTATGTATAAATGGATTTACAGGTAGCACATGCGCAGTCTCGGGATCTTCGGGCTGCACAACAACGTCATCAAGCACTACCGCAAACACTACCATTGGCGACTCTATACCCCGACTCATTTCGGCCGCTCAAACGAACTTTTCGATCCCCTTGTTCGAGAACACAATTCTAGCAAGATTCAACAAAGGAAATTTGAGTTGTGCGTCGGAAAATTCCCTAGTCACTTTTGATGGAAGTGATGAAAGAATGGGAGATGCAAGTGCTAAAGTGACCTCTACCACGGGCAAGAAGGTGAAAAAGGACGTGCAGCCGGACCCCATAGATGTTGAGATTCGAGCAATTGCAAGTCCAGACTCAACTTTCATCTCAACAAATATCATCTCAGTAGACTCTTCCACTACTCAGGCAACACCTACTTCCTCTCAGTCTCAGGCCACTCAAACTGTCTCAGCAGCATCGACATCTGTTGCCTCACCTTCAACAACTTCCTCTCCAACCACAACAGAAACTGCATCTGTAACTTTGACAACCTCCACTATTGACCCAACAGCCGTCTTCACTGTTACCGAGGAGGTGCTGGATTTTGCAAGAGTCACAGTCCTTTTTGTTTTGCAGCAAGAAAACTTGGATAATGCAGTATCCGCGCAAGGAGAATTGCAAAAGTTTTTTAATCAACAAAGCTCCGAGAACTTATCTGCAATGAATGTTTCGATGGGAGGCGGTAATACTGTTAATTTGGTGGAATTCAAAGTAGATTTGGGTAATGGAACAGTGGGCCAAAAGAACACGGTCTCAAAATAATTGTGCTTAGCTGGTTGACTGATCAGATTCAAAGTACAAAGGCAGTAGTGACCTGGGGGGAGTGCGGGGGTGACAGGGTATGGGGTTAGAAAGAAAGTAACGAAGTTTTGTATATCAACTGTAGCGATTAGTAACTGCTCTGCTTTTATGGATACCCAAAATGCGGAGATAGTGTGGGTGGGTAACGAGAAATTTGTACATAGAATCGAATATCTTTTTTCGAAAACTTTCTCGTTAACTACGGTTTCTTTATGGCTTGTATGAATATAATGTCTCTTACATTTTACTTTCATTTTCAGACTTCTATTCCGATGCAAAGAGGGTCTAATTCGAGAGATGCCCAGGTGGGCTTGATTGGGGAAGGGTTTGTGGTTGTGTTCTCTGAGCGACTCCGATATTCCGGAAAGGTTTCCCGCGATTTTCTCTTCTTTCAGGCGGTATTTGGGTGCTGATGATTTGAGATTTTGTGTCTGGGCGTGAACGTGGAAAGGAGCGAGGGCGTCATGCAGAAGAAGTGGTGAAGTTGTGAAGTTGTGGAGCCGAATGGGCAGCACAATGGCATACAGGGTGAAGACGAGGTGACTGAAAGACTACATGCAACGTGGGAGTGACGCCGAATTCTATGACTGAAAGAGGAGAGAAGGAAAAAGAAAGGAATGCATGGGGGCTTCCTTGGGTCTATTTGAGGATGTAGTAGTGCTAGCGAAGTGGAAATTGGCGGAGGAAAGAGAGAAGCGAGAAGGTGATGAAGTATAGATATCAACGAAAAGAAATTAATTCCCGTTTACTTTAGCTTTCTACTTCTATGTTTGATGCGTTCTTGTGAGGAAAGTAATAGCTTTCTATATGGTATGAACGAGTCGTGTTTGCCGAGTGAAGTGGTGGAGAAATTATGATTGAGGAAAGCTGGATTTACACTTGTTATGCCACTACAGACATGTATAGTTGTACATACCAGGGTGCCATGATCTCATAATGCTTGCTGAACTTTAGCAAAGGATGACAGATCAACTTTGAAGCTTTTGCCTGGGGAACGAAGTGGAAAATCCAGGTATTAATTGGAAGGTATTCACTAGAGCGGGGTAGTACCTCTGTTCCAAGGTTCTGTTAGAAAGATCCTTTGGAACCCATACAGTCTTCTCGTATTCACTGACCGAAATTCGAGAAAGCCAAAGACTCAAACAAAAGGCCGAGCTTCAGCTGCCGTAGCGTACATGTCATAAGCTCCTGCCAATCCTCGATAATCCCACCACAAACACTTCACAGTACAATCCACACAATAGTCAAGATTTCTTTCAACGGTATGAGCTCGTCTTCAAACAAGGAGCCACAGGCTGATGGCAGTCAAGTCAAAGACGCCAACCTCGACCAACCATCATCTGGACCGTCAGTAATGATGGGCGAAGAATCAAAGGACAAAAACACGACCGAAGGTCAACCAGCCAAGAAAAAGAGAGAACGAAAGCATCGTCAAGGATTTTACAACCGTGATCGAAGAATGTATGGAGTCCAGCGTGCTTTTGGATTCTGGGAAGCTCCAGGTCGCGAAGGCGCAGAGCAAGATGCAGCAAGTATGCAATCTAATTTGAACATGACTTTTGTGCCACACTGAAGAGAACTTGCTAATCAACCAAAGATGAATCCAATTCCGACTGGACTTCCACTTCCGAATGGGATTCCGATGCACCATACCCTCCTCCTCAGATTAAGAATTGCAACCTCCGCGACTACAACATTCCTGTCAATGATAAGACCCCAATGAAAAATCTTGAATTGGAGCAATTCATACTTAAGGAGACTAAAGATATTCTTATAACCTCATGCATTTCTTGGTTGCGAAAACATCATCGTAAGTTGGTTGCTAAGGAGGGATGGGTTGATCGCAAAAATGGTTCTTTAGAGCTGTACCACGAGATGTTCAAATCTTCAGCTGAGATACAAGATAACACTCTACAACTCGTTGACGGAGAAACTGCAGAAACCTTCTTGACGCTTCTCAAGAAGGTGCGACAGATTAGACACTGCGTCTTTCGCCGCGGCCGTTGCATCGATATGCCTATCATCATCGTCGAGCTTATGCTCCAAGATGCGATTCGACTTACGAGAATGGTAGGAGGACAAAAGAGCTTGTCGATGCTAGAGAAGTTCCGTAGTCGACTCGCTCGGGAGATTGCTTTGAATGCAGATGTAGAGGTTGCATCGGAAAGATTGAAGTCAATGTTTAAGAAAGAAGGGCTTGATCTGAAAGATGAAATTCAGGTGCGTGCGATTAGAGCACAGAGAGTTGAGCTTGGCCATGCGATTGAGCAGAAGAAGCGCCAACTCAAGATTATTGATGATCAGTTTGCGCATGAAGTGAAGAGTGGGCTCTAGGATACATTTGGTTCTTAATTTGGGAATAGTAGGTGTGCTCGGCTGGCGGAAAAAGGGGGTCAAATCAGTGGTTTCTATAAGGGGATCGGTTATTTCATATGATGGATGCAATTTCTGTCATGTCAAGCTGCATAACAGGTTATTGATCAATACATCAATCTCAATGCTTATTTACCAATTATAACATATTAAATACATGTCTCCCAAGTGACATTTTTCATCTTCTAGCATAAATCTCTGTCAAAATGATGAACATCCATCTTTCGAAGGACGATTCAATGCATGTATGAAGAGAAAAGTGTTGGTGAAACAACCCCAGTGACGCATTCGATGCAGATAAGTCTTAGATTGTGCTATTCTACTCAGAGCCATCGACTTCAGATAATGCTCCCAGATCTCTTCTCCTTTGGATTTTGCTGTATCGAGATGTTGAAGAATTTTTTGAACGAAATCGAATTTAACGAATCGTCTAATGTCGCTATTTCACAAAGACCCACTATTAAAACTCCAATCCGAGTATTAGCCGACAAAGCGAGTTTCTGACTAATAATTATTTCTCCAACGGCACCTAACGCAAGTTTTAGAGAACTTGCACGTCTTCTAAACTTTTTTGGTAGAGGCTAACCAGATCTACTACTGTGTTGCTGTTACTTTACCTTCAATGATATATCAAAATTGTCATCAACCTTCTTTGAAACGTTTCTCTCAAATTGAAACGTTTCTAGGCGAAGTATTGGTAAGAATTCACGACCATCCAATTCACTAATATTCGGCTTTCATAAGCGGCCGACTAGCTCCTAACTATTACACCTGTCGATTACCTAACCCAGGGGACAAAACAGAAAATGCCTACTCAACCTTACCACATGTAACGTCCCATTTGGGCATAGAAAAATGTATAAAAAAAAATTGGCGAAAGAGTGGTGAAGAAGAGGAGTAAGTTATAATTCAGGGGGAGAGAAGAGACCTTCGACGGTGACCTCGTCAACGAGGTACCGGAGGAGTTGTCGACGTCAGAATAACCGTTAGGCCACGGTGACAGACCCGTAATGGCGCACGAAAGGAAAGGACTTTTCCAGTATATAAACACTAGCACCTGACTACTTGATGCATCGATCATCTAGTAATGTGAGTCAACGCAGCTTTCATTTTGTAAGCATCCAAGAAGCTTATTTGCTCCAACATGTTGCATATATCCACGATGAGAGCCCTCTCAACTCCAAACTCTTTATAATTTGAAATGATTTATTGCACTTTAGATGGAATCCAAAAATCATAGATTGGCCCCATCAGGAAGAAGACTCTTTCCGCGTTGTTCATGTAGTTCAATGAAGATCACAACCTATTCAACTATTTACACCATGCGTAGTAAGCTAGACATCACATATTACTAATTAAAGATAATTGCGAAGAAGAATGATACTTTTAAGAGAGAGTCTTCTCCATCTTAACTGATTGGTTTGAAGAATCAGCCAACGTCGAGACTAACATTAATAGTCAGCTCTTTAAACGGTCAACTAGCTCCTAATCAGGAGAAAGGAGTGTCTCCAAAAAGCAAATTATCCCTATAAGATTTTGGGTACAAAATATATTAAAATCATTCAATTTTATTAGAAATCTAGGTAGGTAGTTCATTTTTAGTATACAATCTTTAATTTTTTGAATAATTCTTGAACTTTTTGTATAATTATATTCAATAAGATTATGGCTTTTTAATAATATTAGATTTTTCTGAATTATTTCAAAATTCATAGTATTATTTGTGAAATTCGGATTTTTTTTTTAAAAAAATCATGAATCTATTATCAAAATCTTATAAAGACAATTCGCTTTTTGGGGATATTTGCTTTCCTCGATTAGAAAATAATCGGCTGTTTATGAGGGTTGACTTTAGTTGCTTCACATATAGTTCTCCAGGGAAGCTGAACCACAGTCCTTTAAAAGTTGGTTTGTCAATACTAATTGAGTAGACTTCTTTTACGAAGCCCGACGTATCGTTATAGAGCGTTATGCTTTCGAATGCTGGATGTTCTCGTGAGGGAACTATTTGAAAGGGAAAGGCAGTTAGATCTTTTAATACCATCTGATAGGTTTGCAAACATTGGCTCCTTGATATGAAAATACAATCATGCAATTCGTAAAACGCTCCGAAGTCATACGGAAGAGTCTCGCTCAGTCTTGGGTGTCACTTAGTTCAAATCAAGTCAGCTTTTGTCCCACCGCAGCGATAATCTGTCCATAAATTCCCCATACCAATATCTATATGCCTATTGACTTCCGACCAATGCTCACTGCCGCTCAAATTAGTCCTCGCAATATTACCCCTCTCTTTTTCGAACTTCTGAGAAATATCTGCTAATGCCTTCTTGGCCTACGTAGGGAAATTGCTCATTAAAGTGTAAAATAATGTTGGACTTGTTTGAATAGTTTCTCTTATCAAATTACTTGACAAAGAAAGTCATACATTCCATGGGTCCAAGTATGAAAGATAAATTGCTATGTTCATGGCTCTGAAAGTGAAGTCTTGCTGCCACTGTTGAAAAGAATAACACAAACAGCCATCCAAAATATGCGACTACCAACGCAGCTCTAGAACGCGGATTTCTATAAAACAAGAATGTCCATAATCAATGCTAATTGGCGTACTCTAATTTCAGAACCCCTTGAAGATAATGCTCGAATTAACGGGAATCAGTGTTGAAATTGGTCAAAGCAAAACAAGACTCTGCAGGTAAACTCAAGGGACACTCAGGGAGAGGGACAAGAGATGAGAGTCTATTGATTCAGGTCTCATATCAGTGTGACTCTCCTTGGAAAGTATAACGTAACGTGTTTGTTGAAAAGGCGGAGGGCGAAAGACTGAAATTCTCTGAAGTTGAGTACTTTTATCAATAGCATTTATTAACGATGATTGAATCCGTCATAAAGATATGGCTTGTGCGTAGGACGAGCAGGTTAGTCGCTTAATTATACCTATGTATTGAAATTAGTTGCCAGTTCCTACACCAAAACGAAATCGAACACCTGGCCGAATTGGCAAGTTGTTCGCACATCAACGGATCAAAAAGACACCTTAAGGAAATTGCTTTGCTGTCCTTCCGTCGGCCGCTCACGGGTTAACCATACCCCAGGCCTTCGGTTTTCTTGAAAGACATCCTCTTCCTCACCATACTAAGTACCACCCATTCCTTTTACATTTGTTTACTTGTACAATGTATTCACAAAATAATTCTTCACTATCATGTCTCCACAATCGACTGTTTATACGAAATAGAGCAGTGACTCTCGACACCGCCATCCATGGATCCTCTCCTCCTTTCTCATTCTTCTATGCGTTCATTGAACGCTCTCCATCACCATTCTTTTTGGCTATTTATCTCTTTTTCAGTCGTTATTCCCGTATTGACTCGCTTAATTGATGAGACCCACAATTTTGACAGGTTCTTTCTGTTGGGTTGGAGCCTCGAAGAGTTCTGAATGGATGATGATAATGATTTCGAGCGCATGTCTTGTTCTGATCAAGGAACAGACGGGTTAGATCAAATGCCAGTTGCCTGGAGAGATCTATTCTGACAAATCTGGCAAGTTTTTCATCTCGTAAGTCAGTGAATACAGATTAGAAGGTCCAATGAGCCTGGAATATTGAAACACTGTCTGGAATATTGAAACACTGTATAGAGGTCTTAAACAATAATGAAGGATCGATTCACAATCTAGACGAGGGAGATTTGTCACGTAGGACGCTAACCAAAAAACTATCGGAAAGACTCTGATTCTACAAGAGAAGATCAAGTAGAGGGCGGCTCTTCAACAAGTGAAGGTTCGAATAATCTGACGTCGACAGACGTCAACACAGTGAATATCTCTATTTGGCATGTTGCCCTACATACAAGAAGCCATGTCAACTATCGTATTACTGATTGAAGGATAAAGTGCTCGAGAACACTTCTTGTGTATGATAAACATATGAAAATGGTCAAAAATGTTCTCTGTCTCCTGTACGAGAAATCATTTTTCATAAGTGCAGAAACGGAAATAGTGAATCAATTCAGCCTTTGGCGGTACGGTGGATTCAATCAAAATTTTCCAAGAATATTGATTCGAATTTTTCCTTACCAACGCTCCTTGCTTCGAGATCTGACATAAAATAAACAGCTTGCCTTCGCTCAGACCATCCTCTCTTTCCATATGAAAAGAATCCTAAAAGAAGTCCTCAACTGACGAGCGATCATAAATCTGTATAACCACATCAACCTACCACAAAAAGTCATCATGTCTAAGAGAGGAGTCGGGTTAGTTTCTCATCTTTATCACTGAATGATCCTTGTGCTAACTCACCTATCACAGTAGAAATCCTGGCACAACCAGATTCTCCACTTCGAATCGTCCCATTGTCTCCAAGCGTGCTACCTCAAAGAACACCACACCGACGGAAGATCTCACTGTTATCATCAAAAATCAAGAAGCCAACATCAATGACCTCAATTCTCGTCTTGACAAGATGGAGCAGAAAATTAAGAATATCGAAGGGATCTTGACGAGGGTAGATGCTATTGAGCATGCCGTCAAAGGCGTTGGAAGCGATGAAAACGAGTCAAGACAACCGGCAGATGATAATTTACATGCTGATACGTCTCTAAAGTCTACGAGCACTCTCAAGAAGCAAGAGAATATGTATCGTGCACTTGGCATCAAGCCTCCTGCAAGTAGCTCCTAATTTCTGGAAGACGTGCTATAATGGGCATGTTGTCAAGGGAGATATCGTGCAAAGAGAACCAAAGTGGGGTCAGCTAGAAGTTATAGCAGTGTGGATTTGCGGAAATAACTACCTGTACAATCTTGCGCAGGTACTACTCTTCGCAAGGCTGCAGGAAGGGATAGTATTTCATTTGCGAGACAATCTTATTTCCAACGAATCAAAGAGGCTGTTACTAGCATTTCTAGTAATCATAATCCAAAATCTTAGACTGCATGTCAGACTTCTTTTGGTTCTTCCAATTTATGTCATCCGAAACTGAATGGCGATCTGCTCTTGAAACTTAAAAGTAGCGCTGAGTTTTCTTCAAGATGCCAGAAAGAACTTGCCCCTTTGTGTACTTGCCCCTTTGTGTCTACTTACATATACTATATTATCCAGATATGTCACATCAATAAACTATCGAACTTGCTCTCCCCCGTAAGAAATTTTAGACATAAATCCAAGGCACAAATGTATTACAGCATTAAAGGAGCCGTGAGCCTCCTTTTTTTTTGAGTCACAAGTGCGGCATTCCTGAGTATGGATCGTCCTACAACAATTTTAGGCCAAAATTCGAATAATCTCTAAAACAATCACATTATGCTACCCCAAATGCTACTTTCACACCATTTTTACTCTCCATACCTAGATAACTTCATGCCTGGAGCAAACTTCGTCTCCGGATCCCTGTTCTCCATGAATTTGAATTCTTGCATGAATCGAACCACAAAATAATAAACTTCGGCCAAGGCCATCTGTTGCGCTGGACAAATCCTACTACCCCCAAGAAAAGGTATATATTCCCATGTTGTTCGAAAGTTTTCCCATCTCTCAGGACGAAACTCCATCGCATTTTCTCCCCAGATATCTCGATCTTTATGTAGTGCATGAAACACTATTCTAATTTCCGTACCTGGACGAACAAGGATGGGGCTTTTACCATCTGGTCTACCTCCTCTTGGAAGTACACAATCTTCAACACATGTTTGTATACTTAGACCTGCTGAAGCAAGAAGACGAAGACCTACACCATTAGTGTAGTGTTACGAGTATAAATGGTATGCTATACTAACTTTCATTGACTACGAACTTACGATACTTCATCGACTTCAGCAGGTCGAACGTCATGGGTGCGTCACCTATGCTCATAACTTCCTCGCGCAACTTTATCCAGACATCCGGGTGACGGGCCAAATGAAAGCATGTTAATCCAGTTACACTAGAAGTAGAATCACGAGCTGGAATGAATAGGGTTAACACTTGATTTCGAAGTTCCGTTCTATCCTTTGTTTTCTTGACGAGCTCATCCAGATACACATACCTGGCTGGCGAGATTCTTTCAAAGGTTTTCTCCAATGACCGCTGCCTGTCGATGGCCATTTCAACGCATCTGTCAATGAAAGCATAGACAAAAGATATGTCTTTTCTCAATTGTGTCGCGCCCACGAATGAAAACCAAATTGCCAAGAAACATGCGAGTATGTAGACCTATCAAAGATTTATCGAATATCGAGATAAAATCTTCCGTAGAATCATCCTTTGTTCCAGCAAGCAGGGAGTCTTGCGATACCTCGAAGAGGAATTCAGTTATTCTGGTAAAAACTACATCACAAATCATTATTTCAGCAAATGATCCTTTGAATCCAAGCATCAATGCTTACCATTCTTTTCAAAAGTGGTTGTTGATTAATGGTTGAACCATCTCGGGGTATCAATTCCAGCAAACGACTCACGTGTTTATCAAGTGATGGGATGACGGAGAATCTGACCCCAGAGAAAATTTGCTTCGCGATGCTTCTGTGATAAGCTCATGATTGTCCGTCCGCGGTGAAGATACCGTCTTGAATCAAAGGTTCTACTACCGGTATCCGGGACGGTGCAACCTCAAACTTTTCCGAGCTGTTAGCTAGAAGTGTTTGGTGGGTATGGAAATACCACAGAGTAACATTCACGTGTTGGTATATGCAGACTTGGCTTAGAGTTGATCTTAATCCTTGATTGCCCCTCCAAACAGGAAAGTGTATATATAAACTAACACTTACCAACGTACTCGAAATCATTGCATCCATTTCAAAATCAAATCTCATGGTTCCATAACTTGCCTTGCCGTCATGCGGCGCAATAGAGCCCCCAACACAGTCGTCTGCTGCACTGTATAATCGGAGCTGCACAGAAATGGTAGGTGATAAAGTGACATACTACTCTGTCCAACGCCACTATCAAAGCAACTTAATTGAAGAGCTTTTTGATGAAGATGTGTTTGTTATCTAAATGTCCTCTGTTTTTGCGTCACATGTTCTCATGATAAAATTCCCAGCAGTGAGGGGTGGAACAATTCTGAATGGTTTTCAGCCCCAAGGGTCTCGATACTCCCACATTGAATTCAGCGAGGAAATACTCCGAATGCAACCTCGTTACCGGCACTGAAGTCTAATATGCAAGTCGAGGCTAACAATCCAATCTTCGTTTTTGTTCAAGAAAATAGCTGTCTGGCTAACAGGTGGTTCGTTCACAGTTGAAGATATTTTCTCCGGCCTGAGATACCCAACGGCAAGCTGACTATGTTCTTTACCAGTACTAATTACTACCTAGACACTCCTAGTAATTTCTAATTGTGCTGCTAGTTTTCTTCCACCAACAAAATGTCGAATCTGGAGCAAAAATACGCACTTCTTGAAGACGATACAGGAAGCGAACATGAATCTCAGAACTTTGATCATTCATCGCCCAAGACAACACGGAAATCAAGGAGCACAATATTATTAGCTGGATGGACGCTTTTTGGGTTTTGAATTGTGCAATTCTAGACATTCAATCTTTCAGACTAATGAATAAACTAGAAAGGCTCGAACGGACTGAATTTAGTGAGTCGAGCCACTGTATTCTTTGTGACGAAGACTAATCTGGTGCCAGCTGGTCTCAAGCGTGATATAACTGTTCCTTGGCCAGTCTGCAGTCCTTTCGATAACCGAAGCGACCCTGACGCTACCGACAAAGAATGGGAAAAAATTGGCAAAATACGTCTTGGTGTAATTGCCCTTCCTGATTCTTATGTTGAAGAGAAGGGTCTTCGTAAAGCTCAAAGATTTCCATGGGATAATTCAAAAGGTGTCGATCTTATAAGTGCATACCGTAATCTGCATTGCCTGATAAGTGGACTCATTGCAATTTTATGAGGAATATCGATACTAAACAGAAATAGTTGAAACTTAGGATTTCTTTGCTGGAGTTCCACCGTGGGGAAGAACGAAGTGGAATCTTTGCGCATGTCATCCACTGTCTTAACGCTCTCAAACAAGACATTAAATTTAATGCGGACGATATACCCGATGGTCTGGCTATGGACATCGTATCACCGGCAGATCCGTATGTTGTCGTGACTGGGATCTTTTGGACGAATGCTCCAAGACCTTTACATCATGTTGGAATAAAATCCCATCTATTGGAGACATCAATGAGCGCTTCTCTTATTGCCCTGTAGATTCTCCCTACGCGGACCAGACAATTGAAACTCTTAGTAGTAAACATCACTGAGGCGAATGAGAGAAGGAGTGCCATAGTGTAATCTGACACAAGATCAATTATTGTAAGGTGTAAACACAGAATCTTAAATGGCTCCTGTCAAATCGTCCAAGTGATTCAGTGCATCGCCGCTTTCGGAGAATTCGTTTTCCTTGTAATTTTAGGATTTATTTCTCAGGCGAGAGGAGCCTGTCTAGATGTCATTCAAAGGGAGGGAGGGGGGTCATGCGGAGGTCTTCATCACCATTTTCTTCCAAGTAGGTTTCTCCATTACCTTGATTCTCCAATTATTCGTGCAGTATGGCGGCTCCAACACAAACAGGAATTTTTCATTTGCATACTAATGCAGGAGAAATTATTACTGTGGGATCTGTACTCCCCTCATTGGCCATTCTCGCAGTCGCAGCAAGACTTCATACTCGGCACACGAGCTGAATCTCTTGTAAGTTCTTTCAAGGCGACTGTTTTAAAATGCAGGGACAAAATACTGAACAAGGCATTGATGTGAAGGTTATTGTGATTGGAATGTGCATCTTCCTTATCATCGGTACGCTCTTCCTACACCTGCACTCACAAAGAATGAACCTCTGACCATACAATTTTGGGTAAAGAAGTATGCTCTAGCTTATCCGACTCCTACTCCTCCAGGCCTAACTCCAGAGGCCATTTTCTCCCAGAAACTGCCACAAATTACGATCACTCAGAAGGTGAGTTCATAACGTTAGCACTCGTTGTAATTCAGAGCAGTGTGTTCGTGCTGACGGAATATGCGCTGGCAGATCCAATTCATCTTCCATCTGTCAACACAAAGTGCGCAAGGTCTTATCGATTTAAGCATTGTGGCTCTTTACCGTCGAACGTTTGTTCACTCGAACAAATCCGCTTTCGGCATAACTACCTTAATGGCATAAGAAGCAAATTGACTGAAAATAGTGACTGTTGGTACTGGACCTTACTGGGGTATGATTGAAACTGGATTGGCACTTGTTGCTGCCTGCCTCCCAACAGTCAGCTCTGGGATCACAAAATGATTTGGGAAACTAATTTCAATGACTCGAAGTCTTTTCTCACCCAAGTCCCGTTCCAAGAACACAGGATCTTCCGCGAAAGGGGCTCGAAGTGCGAAGCAATACTATAAAATGGATCAGATGTCAATTGCAGCTTCAAAGGTTTCAACAGGGACGCAGTTTGGGGGAGTAGAAGCAAACTTCAGGACCGAAGAACATTTTAAGGGAGATGTAGAAGCCGCAGAATTGCGCCCGTAGTTATCTGCGAAAAGAATGTGAGGCCTTGGACGATGCTTACTGTGTATTTTTCTATTTTTTCTCTATATTGGTCAAATTCTCTCTGCATATCAAACTGGGAACAGAACATGGTTGGGAAGTTGTTGCTTTCGGTGTAATATATATCCTCTGTTGAAATGTAAGATTACTCGGCTTTTTAGACCTGCGTTTATATTTAGTAGATTTGAAACACGTGATCAATGCTCTAAAAATTGGTTTTAATTTGAATGTGTTATGCATCACGAACAACAGTGATCAACACCAAATTGGAAGAAGACATCAGGCAAACTATTGTTTACAAGGCTGTCTGCAAAGGAGGGTAGTTGTGTTCGCCTTGTGCCTAAGACCGCTAACGATTGAGCCCCAGAGAGAACTTCCGAGTTAAAGCAAAATATTCGAACGAATCGCCTGTATTTCCTTGCTGCTTATTCTGGTGATAGATTAAAGATAAATTGAAAAGGCCTCAGTGGTTCTGGGGACTTCTGGCGTGGTGAAGGCTCATATGGCTTCATCTCAAAGTATCAGAACACCATGGCAAATGATTTTTCAACAATTCGCGTAGCTTCAAGTACCAACAGTTTGTTCTAATTATAGACCCTGGTATTGTATCATCCAACGGCGGTCTGCCTCGTCAATGGGAGGGGTAAGCCAGTTTTCGTTGGTTTTCATTGGCTAGAATATTCCAAAGCTGCATTGTTGAAACTGGTGCAGAACGAGGCACATGGTACGCATCTTAAACCTTTTCTTTAACCATGTGAGGCTGCTGCTTCCATCTGATGTCCTTCTTCTTTTTCCTTGCATTATTATCGTGATTGTTAGAAGCAACAATGTCATCTTCCAATTTACCGAGCACTCTCTCTCCACGTAAGATTTTACCGCTTCCCAGCAGATCACGAAGTAGACAGGCGTCAAAAACCAGGCAAAGTTCGGACCCCAGATCTTCTTCTAGTGGTGAGGCGGACCAAGGTGCTGCAACACCAGAGAGCTCAAGAGACGAGCCCACAGCTGCAAACCATCGGATTGAAAGCAGCAACAGCCCGAAGTCACAGATTGACTCCGTATCTGTCACAACTTCAGTTGTATCAAAAGTTCTTGCAGAAAGCGCTATAAAGTCAACTCCTAAACCTTTGGAGAGAGAAGAAAGTCAAGATACACCAACTCGAAACGGAGATTTAAAGACAGTCGTGACACCAGATCATGAATTGCCTCAGCCTCTTCATACACTAGAAACAGAAGAAAAAATGACAACCAGCGATGGCTCAGAAAATCTCCCCGAAGTTGTGAAAGATTCTCACTATAAATTTTCCTCTGATGGCATTGAAGTGCGGGGTAGTTCTATCTCGCAAACCAGCCACTCCCGAAGATCATCCGCAGATTCATTTGCTGATAGCGAATCGTCAAACGAAGACGCGAAATACGCCGTTGAAGATGAAGAGGCACCAGTCGAACCTTATTTCACCGAGGAATTTCAGTCCATTCTTGGAAGAAGCTATAATATTGCAGTTCAAGTGGCTAATGAACTGGAAAAATTGGAGAAAGTCTTTGAAGAAGATGTGAATTTTCGAAGGCTATTGAATGATTCAAAAGGACTGAGCAAAGGCGATATATCGAGTACTAGAACCATTGCTATACTAGGTGCATCGGGAGAGGGTAAGCCTAGATATTTCTTCTGATTCTATATTATGATGGATCAAGCGCTGACTTCGTTACAGGAAAGAGTAGTTTAATTAACTCGCTTCTACATATGACAGAGCTAGCTAGGACTGTGAGTTCACTTCAGACCACTTATGTTGAGTAAATATTAATCAATGCCCCAGAGTGATGAAGGTTCTGCTTGTACATCCGTGGTCACAGAGTACAGGCAAAGGAAAAATAGTGCGCTCGAGCCGTTTTCGATCGAGGTAGAGTATCTTTCCAAACCAGAGCGTCAAGAGATGGTAGAAGAGTTGTTGTGGAGTTATCGACAGCTGTTTTTCCCAGATTCAGATAACGAAGGTAATGCGCTTGATTCTGATGAACAGCAACGTATCGAAAGAGAATCCGCAGTGGCATGGTCGGCTCTTGAGGCAGTGTTTAGCAAACAAGAAGGATTCGATGTCAATTTCGTGAGCGACAAGTCGAAAGGTGCATTTGAAAAGATCAAGAGCCAACTATTAGAGTGGATGCATAAAATAGACTTTCCTGCAGATGATGAGTCAGGTTTATGGACAGCTATTGCGCATACTTCTGATGAATGTCAAGAACTAACCAGTGTCTTCATGGAGGATAAGCTTTGGCCATTCACTAAGATAATTCGCGTCTACCTTGACGCTGAAGTGCTGAAAACAGGCGTTGTCCTCGCCGATCTGCCAGGTATAACTAGTGTTATGAATTGCTGCGACTGGCTGACGAATCCCTATAGGTTTACAAGATACCAATTTAGCGCGTGTTCGAGCAACACAGAAGTACTTGCAGAGTTGTGACCATGTCTTCATCGCAACCAAAATTTCCAGAGCAATTACCGATACAACCCTAAAGTCAGCATTATATAGTGAACTTAAACGCCATGTCCCGCTTGCATGGGAGGAGTCGGGAGGCACCAATATCAATTTCAAATTAGCTGTTATATGCACAAGATCAGAGGTATGTTCTTATGTGGAGCTGGAAATTCTTATTGCAACTTATTTTCCATAGGATATCAACCCAAAAACGGCAAAGAGGACTTTCGTTGGTAATGGAAAAGAGATATCTTTGATTGACATGAATTCGATTGACAAAGATATCGAGAACGCGAAGCGCAAGGGTGACAAAAGCCTGAAAGAGCACCTCGAACGAAAGTAAGACTTGCTCTCCCATTGGAAGATGGCACTTATTTCTAACAATCAATAGAAAGTTGTGGCTTTTTATCGAAGCTCGGAACCGGCACGTTACCAAGGGACTTCAAGCCGCGTATCGACAAAAGACTATCAACGGGCATCTAGATGTTTTTTGTATCTCAAATACGACATATGAGGACTATGTAGAGAAAGATGACAATGAAATGATCCAAAAGAGCGGTATTCCGGAGCTTCGTCGCTTCTGTCGGAAGATAACTGCTAGTGCCCAACTTCTACAGGCACTGCATTTCATGCGGTCAAGGCTACCAAGTCTATTGAATTCTATTACGCTATGGTTGGATTCCATTCAAGCAGTCTCTCAAGGACAGGATGATAGTACAGGGACGTTGGTATTGGACTGCTATGAGCGTTCCGGAGAAGAAGTAAGTGATAAAAATAGCACAAGAAATCTTGTATGTGCCATTTCTCTAATTATCAGTAGGCGACTGCGTCAATTACGAAATATAATCTAGAATTTCGGAATGCTTTACAAAATGATATGATTCGTTTCTTTAGTGAGTTACTGTTTGCCTGTTGGTTTGATTACTGTACTAAAAAGAATTTAAAAAAGATAGGGAAAGTATACAGTGGGAAGTTACTGCAAAAAAGAGGGCTGAAGAATGGGCTGAAGTAAGCGATTGAATGCTCTTTTGAAAACAATCTAACGAAGAATAGTGGCATCACCGTATGATCTCTTAGATTGTGAAAATCCCAAAAGACGACTAATGTGTTTTGATTTCAATAGAATCATACAACGCGTGGTGTAGAAATAACGGAGAGCACATCACTGTTGCACGGGGTTATAGAAATTGGAACGCGGAAATTATCGAAAAGATGAGAACGGAGTTAAAAATGAGATGGAATCTTCTTGAAGAAAAGATCCCAATAAATATGGAGAGCCTCCTACAAGAGGTCAAAAATCAACTTCAAAACTTGGAGACTCACATCGAAGGTTAGAATAGCTCATTAAATTCATAAACTGAACTGTCATGAACGTCACATGAAGCTGACAACGTTGAAATAGGGCAAGGCAGATCGAGCCCAATGCAGTATGGCATTAACTTTCGCATGCAAGACTTAGAGTATAATTTCGGTCTCATACAACAGGAATTTGAGAGAGGATTGAGGTATTGCATTGTTCCCATACTTCTTTATCAGTTTTCGTAACTTTTTATACAGAACAATTCGACAGCACGTTGAAGAACCAAATGCTTCGTCCTTTGTTGTCGCGGAAATGATTTCAGCTTATCGTAAAGCCAGCAGTGAAGGAGGTAAGTCTCCCTCGCCTACTCAAATGACTAACTCCTCCCGTAGTAACTCAAGATTAGGCAAAGGCATGAAAGCACGACAAATATCAATTATTACGAATCAAGTCAATGGCGGCACCATTTTCCCTAACATATCTGCCAAAATGCGTCAAGAAGCGGTCACCTTGATCGATTATGAATTCAACAAGCTCAGACAGGAATTGCATGAAACCTTTAATCTGATACATAAAGACATTGATATGACAAGTGCTAAGAGACCGCAATCCCAAAAATCTGCTGCTACGACCAAGGGCATAGAGTTGAAAGGAAGATTTGCAAAAAAGTTCAACAACTTGAGATTGAAGTATGATGAGATTCTTCGCGTTCGAGATAGTGGAGTAGGAGTTTGAGGAGGCATCATCTACTATTTTCATGACATGTAGTGATTGAATTCTAGTAATCCATGCAGCTATGTTGTTGGACTCAAATGGGCGAAATCTGAGCCATATAAATCTGCCATTATTGTTTGGTTTCAATTCACATAACCTTCCTGATTGTCTAACTTGAGTTGTACCATCGACTTTTGTTTTCTTTACTCCCTAATCATTATACATTTATTCTTCTAGTTAAACATGATCTTAGTATTAGAACTAAACGTCACAAAACCACGAGGTTCGACATACATTGTGTGAGCTTAAGCAAAAATCCGTGTGTCTTGGCAAAAGCTTCATTTCTATGATTGGATTGAGTAGATTTCCACTGCGTTTCTGATGTTTGAAATCTCACCGGGACTTGGTAGAATCTTGAAACTGTTGCATTCAAAACCTTTCGTTGAAAACGAGATCATGCACGACCATTCGCGTAATTTCAGGGGCGGAATCCAAGAGTAATGTGTCTGAAGACGAGAATTGCCCGAATAAAATCAAGTTCGACAAACATTCGCCGGAGAGATCAAAAAATTTCGAATAGACCGGCTTTGAAGTGGCCCATATCTAGCCTGTAAACGATTATACTCAAATCTAGTAATAGCATTTCAGGTTTGGAACTAATTTGTGCCGTACCTTGGAAAATCAGAGAGTATTCTCGGTAACTCTATGGTGTTTAAGGTCGATTACTCTCGCAGTGATACGGCCTTGATACGATACAGCTGCGAAAATACGCTTAGAAGAATCTCTATCGTTCTGAGCTGTACCGAAATCATGTATATATCTCATAGAATAACGATGTTCTAACACTACAAGAGCAAGTAGAAGTTAATTCGCAGTAAATTTTCATCTCGTGAAGAACGGTCCCTAAGACATATATTCAATTCAGAGTTCCCCACAAAAAATCCAAAATAATATTCCAAGTGAGTCTCCGAACATCATACAGCAGACGACTGGTTGTTTTTATCATGTCTTTGGACTAACTCAATAGTAGAATGAAACAAGCAGCTCCGATTCAAGACCTCGGTTAGTGCTCTGCAATCACAAACTTCAGTGAAAAGATGGAGTCGAACTAAATATGGAAGTACAGGAAACCAACTACTGATCGAAACACTCACACCCGGGACTACGAACTTCTCAATAAACGCGAGAGATGAGAGACACATAACTCTCGACGAATCAGACAGTCTTCGGACAGATCGCCCAGGTCTGGAGAGATATCAATTGAATCGAGATGCAGCCATCGGAGGTCACTCGTATGACTTCGCTGAGCTGTATGTGGAGCATCGCGAGTGGCAGGAACAGGTGAAGAAAGTCAACCAACGACTCAATGAATACGTTTGGCAAACGATAAACCTGCGCGAACATCCAAAGCTTATGCATGAGACGCATGCTCTGATAGAGCTAGTCGAATCGCTAATAAGCGAACGGGATGAGCGAGCCATAAAATTCGAAATTGCCTTGCATGCTAGAAAATTAGCAGACGAGGAGGACGCAGAATTGAGGGAAAGAAATAGTAGTTCTTCAGATACCCCAGTGGAAGAGGGGCCAAGAACCAAGATCAACACTGCAGATATGGGTACATAAGCTCCTCATGACTCCCCAATCTAAACTTTTCAGCGATAGCTAATGTGTTCTTGACAGTGGAGTGGTTTCAAGCGATCTCTGAACTTTGGGAGGAGGATAAACAGAGTGTTGCGAACATCCACGCCGCATATCGTGCTGTTTGCAATGGAGAATATCCTAATATTCGAGAAGCGTTGGAGGATGCAGTCAGCTTATAATACTGGCTTTGATCATAGTCATGGTGTCTTCGGGCTCTAAACTATAGAGCAATCAAGAGGCTGGACACGCTTGTAGACTAAACGTTGTCCTTAAGATGCTTGTTGACAAGCACGAAAAAGGGGTATCGTAGTCGTTGCTTGGGTGCAAGAAAAATGGGGAAATAGCGTCTTGGAATATCGAAATATTAAATAGCATCAAGTATGGTGAATAAAGCGAAATTTCTGCTCCCGTTTGTACGTGATCCCCTCACACTAGCATGATTAAAAAAATATCTATTCTTCTATCTGACCTTCCCATAATTAAGTGAAAGTAACCTTGCAGAAATTTAAATAGAAATTGTCGTTCAAACGATGCACGCTAGTGCTGGCTTCATTCTATTCGTGCATCTTGAGCGGCATGATTTCTGTTCTTCTCCTCAAAATGAGTAATGAGGTAAAATCACGCTTGATTGCTACAATCCATCGAGAAGAAGACATGCTATTAGCAAGCCCCGGGTCGGCAAGCAAGGAGTGTAAGCCAAACAAAAACTGGAAAAAATTCGGGTTAGGATGATCCAACCCTTTTTACAAAACACAGCTTTAACTCAAATCTATCAAAGTGTAGGAACAGGGCCCCTTGAGTCTACAGTTTTGTTCATTCGTACAATGCATCCCAAGCTTTAATCATGTACATTTTCTTTTGGTATCTAGCGCCAGTCCATTCGAGTCTTCCGTACCGTTGCGCCTGTTTGTAATATGCCATAACTCCACACTTAAACTCCAAACCCAAAATAATCCAACAGCATTCGGTTCGGCTGCATAGTTCATCCTCTTGGACCCGGTATGTGCATTCAGTCAAATCAAATCCACCATTCAAATGTAGGAAACGGCAACTTCCAGCACACTAACCCTCCTGACCCTACTCTCACTTTCCTCCATATCGTCATCCTTGTTGTCAATTCCCACGATATCATCAACAGTCGCTACACTCTTTGTCCTGACTACCACTCTCACACCTTCTTGTTGCTGCCACCAATGCGCCAACATCAAGGTTTTCTCAATTGCTTTCCCCGTTCCTTTCATTACGACTTCTTCGCCATTACCACTCCCTGATTTTCTTTCCATCCTGCTAATTTTAATGCCTTCTTCGATTTCTCTCATCAACTCCCTGTCTGTACTGGGTAGAACTGTGGGCCCGGCACGGAACTCTGCGCCGTCTAGGTATTTACGCACTCGTTTCACGATGGCGATGAATTGCGATTTGTCAGAGACGTAGACGACCTTCTCAGAAGAAGAGCGGGGTGACGCGATTGCGGGGTGCAGTAGGGGTCGCTTTTGGATTCTTTGGTCTGCGCACACAAATTAGCATCAATCAGAATCGGGGAAATCAAGAGAAGATGGATCTTACTCTTTCCTATTCTTGGCAGTTTAGGTTTCTTGTCGTCCTTAGAGGAAAGTGAAGGTAGTGTGCGAGCCATTTCTGTGCCAGCCACGATGCGGCTCTGGTTTTGGGTTTAGTTTTGGTTGCGATTGTTTATTCACAGTTTGCGCGCAAGAATGTAAAGAAGTATGAGGAATGTTTACGACGTATAAGTTGATGAATAAGGTATCAAAAATTAGATGTAAAGTAAGGAAGCAGCATAGAGGGCCTGGAATTGCGATTTCGATACATTAAATTGATACAGCAAAGTTCTGAATTGAGACACTCACCGCCCGGCAGAACCCATTCTACACTAACGTCATAGGCTAGGTATAGATATACAGCTCCACCAAAGTGCAGCAATCTATATCATCCCGCAGAACACTTAATTTCTTATCAACGATAGATATATCGATATGTCTACTTCCGTCTGGCCTTCTTTACCTGTCCATGAGTTGAGGAAAGAAGAGGACGATTCTACGGTATATATCTACTTGCTTTACTTTACCCTTACAATCTCATCTACGCAGCAAGCGGAAACTAACTGTCAGTCCAGGAACGCGAGCTATCATGGCTTCTAGAATCACTACAGGAAACATTGGCTTCACTTAAAACGGGCTTAGAAGATTGTTATGCGCTTCTCGCGCCTGTTGAGCCGGGGTCTACACTTGTTATGTCATCACCTCGTTCCGAGTATTTGAAGGGCCATATTACACGTGTTGGAACTCAGGTTGTCAAAGGAGTTTGTCTTCCCCCTTTTCCCTGCGTCTTCACATCTTTAACTTCCCTTTCCCGCCCCGAACCTCAAACTATAAATCCAGACTCTTTCAGCAATCGCTAATAGTTCCTCTCAGACCCTCCACCTGCGCCTCAAATCTCTCCCACCGTCCTCGTTTTCACTGTCACCAACTTTACCCCTTCTCCTTGAACCGCTCACTCAACTCCGCACCCTCCTAAATCAAAGTCTTGATTGTGTTGACATAACTCGCTGGACCGGTGATCGTCATTCTGCGCCTTTTATATCCTCCCAATTGCATCTTCTCCATAGTATCCTCACCGAGGCCAAGCTCGTCCTCAAAGGTCCCTCTCTGCTCGAATCTCCCACACAAACCCCCGCATCTTTGAACTGGGCGCATAACCCTGTTGATCCCGATACTTTCGCCCCATCCTTACCATCCAATCTCTCTCTCGATCTTACAATCTCCGATGGCTCATTACTGCTCACCATTCGAGTTCTTGAACCTGTAGCACAACAAGTCAATCTTGGGAGCAGGATAGCTTTTGCGATAGGAGCCCAAAGAAGATTGGAGCATGATGAGATGGATGAGGTCTTCATGTTCAAAGGTGAAGAGGTTAGGGTTAAGGAAAAGGTCAGGGTCGAGAGTGCAGACCCAAGGTTAATGAGTGTTTTGGCTAAAGTGGCGGCCCTAGAGCATACAGTTGAAGGGGCGAGGGCTGGTTTGAAAATCGTTATGGGAGGTGATGGGCTGGAGGCTGAAGACTAGTGGTGTGTTTGGCACTACTTCTAAAGAGTATCGGTCACCACAGTGTGCCAAATATCAGACTATGATTCTTCAAGGCACCGCGAAAGTCAGGCTTGACATTTTCGAATGTATTTTTTAGGGGGTCTAAATGGCACGCCTGCTAACCGAATTGAAAGCAGTCAAGGATTACTGTGGAATTTTTTCCAGCTGGATGAAGTGCAGCTACACTAGGAGTTGAATCTAGGTTCTAGGTTCCGCGATGATACCATTTGATTGTTCTGCGATTTTAGGTTTTATCTTTTCGGGTGAGTGGGGGGGGGGTTCAATTTAGCGATTGTAATAGATTTAAATCAGTCAATAATGTCTGGCTCTGCATATTTTTGTCCGGAGCATGTATGGATATGTTTAGAATGTAATCTTATAATCTCATTTGCAACAGAGACAGAGCATCACTACAATGGTAATTCTCGAAATTTTTGGCGGCGTTGCAATCAAACCTTCCTCCAAATTTCAAATCCAATACCGCAGCCCATTTAAAAAAGCTGCAGAAATTCTGAATTTTATTAGAGAGCCCTTGCTCACACGAATGCCTCTCCACTTGATATTAATCTTAATGTGTTTCGGGCTACTTATGGGAATGAGTCTTAAAGCATCAGTGGAATCTTCGCTACCAAAAACCCATTTCTCTTCTAAAAAAAGATCAGAAAGCATATTTCCATAAAGAAATCGCCGAACTTGGAGCCCATCCTTACGGTTCTAACGATCTTGACTACTTCGAATTAACGAGAAATGTATCCTGACTCCCCCAAAGCTTGATTCTTGGGCCAAGTAGGCACACAGCCACCTGTTTTCCTTCGATTCACTAATGTGACTTGCTGGAAAAGGTTTTCAGATATTGTAGGTAATCCTGGTGAGAAATGCAAACCCTCCAGAACTCCCTACTATCTGATAAACCCAAGCGTTTCTCACCAATCACGCAGCAAGAACGAAGATCTCGATATCGAATAGTATGAAATCCATCGTTAGATACTTAGATCGAAACTATTTGTCCAGAGAAGCCTCGGAAGATACTTCAATTATACAAGAATTGCAACCAAAATCATGACCTAAGTCGTCCACAACAATTTTTGGACCCCTTCCTTTTCAAACACCCACCCACTCAGAAATCCACTTAGCAATCCACTCCCTTTTCACACCCTCTAAATCTTTTAAAGTCTTACTTGCCTTTTGAGTCTCTTGCGTCTCTAAGTAATTACTTTCCTCGCCACCTCCAAGCACATCTTCGTAAAACTCTAAAAGTTTGGCTGCGGGGTTCTTCTTCAAGATCACATCTAATTCTCCGTCCTTCAATATGGTCCCAGCTCCCGCTTTGAGCTCTACATCTTGCCTAACTTTCGCGATCCAGACATCGAGTGGAACGACGTCTATCAATTTGCCAGAAATAGAACTTAAGTCCATTACCAGTTCCTCTCTTACATCTTCCCAAGTTTTGGGATTGGGATTCAAAGGATGGAAAACCTGAACCGGTCTTCCCTTATTTTGGACATTATTGGCCAAAGCCAAGTCTGCGATGATATCTGCAAGTAAATCTACCGGTACCCAGTCGATTCTACCAAGGCTCGAACCCAGAGAGCTGGGAATACAACCTACATGTATAGAACTAAGAATGAGACTTGGAAACCATTCAGTCTTGTTCCACATCCCTTTAGCTCTTACCGGGCCGGCTATCTGACCGACTCTTGCGAGGGAGAATTCATACCCATAAGATGAACATTTCTCTGATGCATAAGAGATAAGAAGTTCCGAGATGTACTTGCTTTCCGCATAGCCATTTGGTGCTACGATGAATTTACTTGGGTCGGTCGATGGCTGAATTATATTTTCGGGTGTAGCACCAGACGAAGTTCTGTATCCCATGACGGAACTAATTGAAGATATAAAAGATAACCTCCCTCCTACGCTCGACACTGCGAGTGTAATAAGATTGATCAGACCTTCAATGCTAGGACGGAAAGAAGACAAGGATAGATTAAAATTGACAGGCCAGGCATTGTGAATGATGCGAGTTGCTTGTAGTAAGTTGGAATAGTCTTCTGAACGAAGTCCAAGCTGCGGCTTCGAGAGATCTATTGTGAGAAATGTGACTCGAGTATCGGCAGTGTATGCGAATTGGCTCCGAGACTCTCGGAGACTTTTACCTGATGATGACCGGTTCAAACAGTATATATGAGCGACTCGTGGATTTAAGAGAAGACTCCCTAGAATATGGGAACCAAGCGTACCTGTAGACCCAGTCAAGACGACAATTTCATGATTTGTGTCAACTTTCTTGTGGGAAGTTGGCGGAGGTAATATAAGTGAATCAATACGGCTTCGAAACTCCTCTAGCATACCGTCTCTCAATTGGCCTGTCATCTGTTGACCATGTATAGATTTCTCGTCTTTGGAAATCTTCACGACAGCGCTTGCTAATTGAGCAATTGATGGATTGGTATAAAGTGTACTTGAAGCAATTGATGTAATGCCAAGGCCTTGACGAAGCTTTCTCACAACTGTGAGAGCCTGCAGAGAGTCCATTCCGCGAGCGAAAAAGTCCTCATTCACATCTAGATCAGGCCAAGAAGTAATGTTCATCACAGCGTCTCCCATGAACTCGGAAACCGCTGGTAAATCACTAATGTCGATGTTAGAGAAGATTTCGCCGTCTATCTCTGCTGTCATGCTATCTGCGTCTGCATACAAAGCATCGAGTTCTTCCCGGTAGAGTTGTAAAGTTCCTGCTCGTTGAACCGTGCCTTTTCCCGCAATCAACATACGTTTGGTTGGGTTTGTGAAGAAAATGTGTGTCTTGGCAACCTTTGCATGAGCCTATCGGTTACATTAGTAACTACCCGTCGTTAAATGATAGAGGAAAACCAAAAGGTCATGTTGTCTTTCAAATCTCTTCTTCAAGATGGAAATGTATACTCACTGGGCATGTTTGATTGGCTTCTTCCACTGAGGGCCAGATCTTTTCTAGCAGCGCTGCGCGCTTTGTTGTTGAGATATCGATATCTCTATTCACAGGATCTATCAAAAGCGATGCTTGAAAACGTTGTGCGCCCATAACCAAAGCCGCTTGAACTTCTGGATTGCGAGCTACAATGTGCTGCTCCATTGATATAGGATTAGTCTTCTCGCCATTTAAGAATACAATAATATCGTCGGCTCTTGCATGCCATTTCCATAAGTTTCGCTTGTTAGGATGGGGGGTAAAGAGATCACGACTGGCATATTCCGTTGCTTGGGGAAACATCGTAAAGGTAGGTTGCTGCTTTGACAGTTCGGGGTCAGAAAGCATAGTCAACTCATGGGTATTGTCTATTATTGGTCTGAGTTCGGCACCTATGTCTGGGTGAAACTCGACGTACTTCCAGTCTCCTCGGTCGAAGTTGCCATTCCTATGGATCAGGTTTGATAAGCCGAGTTCCGTAGCTCCAAATTGATTTACCAGTCTGATCTTAGATGCAACTATATCACCGATGGCTTGTGGTAAGTCTCCTCCACAGTAAATTATCATTTCCAGATGCTCAGCGCAATAATCGAGGAGATCTGGGCTTTGGCTCAACTCGTTCACAATAGATGGTACTATGAATGCGATATCTGCTGGTGTTTTCTTCAATCCATCCACAAGTCCTTTCGCGGATGGTATTGCTCCGGAAGTAGGGCTAATCATCACTGTACCAAATGGCACAGCATTGAACAAATGACAACAAAGGTATGCACCCTAAATAATATTGCATCAGAAACGATGGCGTCATCAAATATAAATCGGAACTCACGTGAAATGGTGGAAAGGTTAAAAATACTCTTTTTCCCTCATACATTCGATGTTGGCTCTCATAGCCAGCTGGAGGGTCCAGCGCCATCAATACGATGTTTCTTTGAGCAGTTTCATGAGTCCAGATCATAGGCTTTGGAAATCCAGTCGAGCCAGAAGTATGCCTTTTGTAGTTAGATCAGCTTTTGACATAGCATAATTATGGGTTTACTCAACTTACACAACGACGAAGGGCTCTTGATTAGCTTTAGAGAAAGTTTTATAGAACGGAAAACGTCTCCTCTTATTTTTCAGAATATCTTCAACGCTCGGAACCTCAACGACGCGAAGATGAGAATTAGCTTCGAGGATCTCAGTGATTTGAGGAGGACGAGGAGTCGGTGATAGAACAGTTCTACATTTCAGGCGATCAAGCAGGTTTGTTTGAGCTTCGACGCTGTTTCTGGGGGAGGTGAGAAATATCTTTCAGACCTTAGCATTGCACGTTCATGACAAAAAAAATTCTGAATTTGATGAATACAGATAAGAATATGCGCAATTGAGGGCGTACTGAGGTCTATGGATAGAGACAGCTTAGGGAGAATTCTCACCAAGTAGCCAGCTTTTATGGCACCCAATATCAGTGCTGGATATCTCAGATCATTAGGTCCGATATAGGCTAGAACCTCGAAGTCTTTGGCAGGACCCAAGGTTTCGTGCATCCACCAAGCAATACAGTCGACAGCGCTTGCAAAATCACCATAGGTGATCTTGCGATAGCCATAATCGTACGTCAAAGTAGAAACTGGATACTCCGCATACAAAGCCTCTGGATCAATTTCAGCTAGATGGTCAACAATGTTGGGAACGAGTTCATCTTTCCATTTTCGAGAAGTCATGGTTAGCGAGCTCGTAGTATTAACAAGTAACTTCCTTATACTTAACCGTTTGCAATCTCTGAAGCTCGGCAGTCAACTTGCAATAGATTTTTTGGTATCTATTTTATTTGGCATTATGGAGCAGGGTGGTCTTCAGATGTACATAAATATCTGACTGCCGGCAATGACGGCATCAGCAATACTGGAGCCAACCAACAGGTAGCCAACAAACAGTTGGAACTTCATATTACCAAACGTCATTCGAGGTAAGCATACACAGCATAGATTAGCTGACTTCTCTAAATGGTTAACAATGCCATTCCACAATCAAAAAAATACACCCATCAAGCAACTCATTGATGTGCTCAAAAGGAAGGATTATGAAAATGACAAAGATTTTGAGACCAGTAATATAAGCAGTTGCAAACGAAATGTAGCTGATAAAGTGGGTGGATGAAACAAAAATCACGTGCGAATCCCAGCCACACCTCACTCTGGATTCCGATTTGGCAACGATCAACGAGTTATTGATCAAGCCATCAACAACGGTGACTTTTCTTGAAATATCACCACTATTACAATTAAAAGCAAACAGTATCATAACTTTCCCATTCATCACAATGACAATTCGGCCTCCATTCGGCCATCGCATGCGTGACACCCATTTTCAATTCTCTTCCAGCTACACACCTTTAAACCACGGTTCCTTTGGCGCGTACCCACGTCCTATCCAACAAGCTCAAGATGCATTTCAAAAGCAATGTACTGAAAGACCCAGTACATTCTACGTCTATGATCTTCCAGAACTCGTTGATAAATCACGAGAAGCCGTTGCACCTCTTCTAGGTGCTGATCCGAAGGAAGTGGTTCTAATCCCGAATGCAACGACGGGGGTGAATACTGTATTGAGGAATCTGAAATGGGAGGAGGGAGATATGATTGTTTATTTTAGCACGATTTATGATGCGTGTGAGAAGACAGTTGAAAGTGTGAGAGAGATGTTAGGAGTAGAAGTAGCGACGCATTGTCAGGTATTGGAGTTTCCGATTGATGAGGAGAGTGAATTAGGAGAATTCAGAGAGTTTGTAGAGCTGGTAAAAGGGATGGGCACAAAAGTTAAGTTGGCTATATTTGATACGGTAAGGCTGTCTGGATCCTACAAATAAAGTCACTTTATATTGTCAGTAGTTCTGACATTATCTCTCATAAATTCCTTTGAGTGCATCTAATTTGACTCTGATTGATGATCTCAATTTTCTTACAATGTTGACGACAGGTCCTGACATTCCCCGGTGTTCGGATGCCTTGGGAGAAGCTAGTACGGATATGTAAAGAACTAGGTGTCTTGAGTTTAATTGATGGTGCTCACGGTATTGGACACATCGATCTTACACACCTTGGTTCAGTCAGTCCCGACTTTTTCGTCAGTAACTGTCATAAGTACGATATCTTCTTCTCATAAATGTTGTAATCTAACCTACGGCAGATGGCTCTATACACCTCGCTCGTGCGCAGTTTTTTATGTACCCCTCCGCAACCAACATCTCATCCGCACCTCCCTTCCTACATCCCACGGCTACCGCAAAAGTTCCGAGAATGACTCTCTGGAAGATATCAATAACTATTTCGTCTCCATGTTCAACTTTGTAGCAACAATTGACTACACACCATACCTTTGCATCCCCGCTGCAATATCCTTCCGGAATAACGTTTGCGGCGGCGAAGCGTCAATTCGTCAATATTGCTTTGATCTCGCTAAAACAGGCGGTAACTTATGCGCTTCAACCCTGAATACGCACACTCTCCCCATCTTGCCCGGAAGACAAACGTGTTTTACTAACATCAAGCTACCAATACCCTTTTTGTGTAAGAGCAATGACGAGTCCCATACAACACCCGAGACAACAGCATTCAAACCCGCTGATGCAGAAAAGATCAAAGTATGGCTCAACAAAACCGCAGTCAAAGAATTTGATACCTATTTGCAAATAGGATGGCATGCGAATGTACTATGGGTTAGATTGAGCGCGCAGATATATCTTGAATTGAGAGATTTCGAGTGGGTAGGGGAGAAGTTAAGAGGGTTGTGTGAAAGAGTTAACGAGGGGGAAGTGGAAGGAACAAAGAGAGTGGATGTAACGGGGGCTCCAGAGGCTCAGGACTCGTTCATTTGTGGTAGCGCTTGTGATGATTAACTTGAGGTTTCGGTTGTGGATAATTTGCCCAAGCGAATAAAACGACTGGACGCTGATTCTGCTGGTGGAGGAATAATGAGCCACAACCAGTTTTACCAAATTTGAGAGATGTGAACAATGGGATATCAACGTGAGAAGATTGAATGTGGCGCGTCGCTTTTGTTTAAGTAAGTTACATGTGGCATATGGCGTTAATGAGAGGGATTCAAGGACATGATTTTCTATATCTTGGAGAAGAGGCAACCTTACATAGACTATGATCAACAATTGAATTTCTACTTTCCTATTTAATTGTTCGAGATAACAGCTTGCAGATGGGATCATCTTGACTGCTGTCTGGAAAAGTCACACCAGCGACCACTTGAATAGCTTGCCAGTGAGAGTAAACCTTCGGTCATGCGTTTTGGAATCTTGAAATTCTTAGCTATGTCTTCCGAACAGATCATCTGTAACGATTACCTGAACGCGATGGGTTTTCCCAGGAACAATTTATCTCAATTCGAGCTTTAGAATTACGTCATATAAGAATCGTGTTACATCTTCACGCTCTCCCTCAAATATTTCACCCACCAAAGCTCGAAAAATTGACAGGCATAAAGGCTTCAACTACTTCGCCCGTGATCTCAAGCTTACACCACCCATCAAATTCCCCCAGATAAAACACTCCACCCCCCAACTCCTCACTCGTACTATTCCGCCACGCAACTCCGAACGGTAAACCAGAAGCTATCCCATCCACAGCCTCATTCCTAGCCACACTCAGACCTCCACAAACTACCATATCAAAAAAGCCAGGCGGTATAGTGGTATATAGACCACATGGGGTGGCGCGAGTTTCAAGACCTGCAACGCAGACTAGGCCAAGAATGCAGGCGAATAACAGGGCTGTGTAGATTTTGTACCAAAGACTCGTTATGCATGGGATGATAGTGGTGGTGGAATTATTGGTCAGGAAATAGAATGTGTAGATTGGGATTGAGCAAACGAGGAAGATGGTGAAGAATACGACGACGAGGAATTGAGTAAGTGTGAAGAAGATATTCAAAGGATAAGATGAATTTTCATAAGGTATAAGATAAAGGAGCGCTAGGACCAGGAGAGCAAGTAACGGAAGGAGAAAGAGGATCCGTACAGTTATACCGCGCCAGTTACGGGGAGAGTGGAGGTTAAGCGAGTGGACTGGGAATGGTTCGAGAAGTCCTAAGCTGAGAAGGGTACGACTTGTTAGTGATTTGCGTGGTTTTAGTGTGCCAGTTAGGCTGTATCCGTTGCGAGTTTCCACTTCGGGGTCACTATCGCTATCGACATCTACATCCACGTAAGAGTAGTCATCAGATATCCAGAAGGCCGCTGGTAATCTTATTAATCCGCATATAGCCAGCGGTGCAAAAACCGTCCCCAGAGAGATAGTATTAGAATAGGCACCCCCGTTCAATCCTCCGACCAATTGCCAAGCGGCTTGCAGCCCTTGCAATACAGTCGCTACTGTTTCGGCTGAGGTCTTCGAAACCCAAACAGCATGCGGGGAACTAGGAATGCGAGAACAAAAGCGTCGACTTTTCCGCATCATATTTTCGGAGCCATCCCAACCACTCGATGTCCAAAAATGTGCATTACTAGCTGCCATATCCGCAGAATTCCATGCACGCGATCGTGCTCGTCGATCGATGATGGAGAAGTAACGCCATAGTATCGAAGTGGGATTATAGTGGCCGAGCCGCTCGTGCCAACGAGGTCGTGGGCTAGAGAGATAGACGGGCGATGGAACGCCAGCAACGATATGAACAATGAGGGGGGCGAGACAGAGTGTAAATAGATTTATCCAATCTGCAAAGAGAATCCCAGATGCTTGGTATGTAAATGGGAGAATGCCGTTGTGCGGAAAGTTACCGTCCATTGTATGGTCTTGAGATTGGCAATGAATTGGTATTGACAGAAAAATAAAGACTATCAGTATGGAAAAGAAAAGTTTGCGAGTAGCTCATTGTTCAGTTTGACATTGATACAAAATTCAAATAATGGTACTTGGAAAAGAAATCATGCAATACAATGTCGCACAGCGAGCCTCATGTTTGTCTTGACCACCCGCTATGCCACAATTCTTGTCGGGAAAGGTAAGCAGCATGCTGGAGATGCGGGTACAAAGGCAACCAAGCTATTGAGGTACAGAAAGGAGAACAAATCAAAATTCTGGTAACAGACACTTATCGTGTACCGGGGCTTTTATGAAGTAGCTCAACATCGGCCCTTCACACCCCACCCGTGGGGGCCCAAAATACAAGAAAGTTTGCTGTGAACCGGTGCTGCGCCTTCATCCACGTTGAGCAAACACGACCGCTTTTGTAAAGCTGAAAAGATCTTTTGAAGTTAGTTATATGGTCTATGAAATGCCGTGTGTATGTGAATAAGTGACGGAGTACATAGTGCAATACTGTTGTCATCTCGGTACGAGCCGAGACCGGCAGGAACGCTAGCGGAATGCTTGTTGACTACTTTTCCATTCAATCTCACAATATCACCGATCTACAGCGTTGAAACATTTGCATTTGAATTCCTTACAAGCTTCCCTTGGTTGTTATCAATTTCTTAATACATGTAGCAGCGTGCTGATCTTGTCCCTCAAGTTCAGAGCTGGGTATGGTCCATTCAACTGTCATCGCTTCAATATCGCACTTCATTGATCAAATTTGTACTGGTATCCGCAACGCTCACGTTTAATGCATAACTTCAATCCTCCCGCCGATTCTGGTGTCCTATCCATGCAGATATCAGATCAAGCAACTGGACTCCATGGCATTGGAATCAACACTCGACTCTTCATATTTTGAATCAATGGTACAGTCTTGTGAACTGTATCTCCCCAGCCCTCGATCTCCCAGCTTTGCTCTCTTCTCTTTTTTCTTTCCTCTAAATCCGCAAATTGCCACAAATGATGTACGGTGTTCAGTTCTCCAATTTGTACAAACCATGCTCCGACGCCTTCCATGACTTCTCTGCGAGCCTTTAGACCGCGGCGCCAATGAGTCTCCCATTCTAAGAGGTTTCCGGGGTGCAGCGTGTACGAGCGTAATTCAAAGAGACCACCAAGTTCACGGGGTGCAGTGGTAGGCCAGAAGGAGAATTCTTGCATGAGAGAAACGTTCTTCTTTGTAATGAGAGACTTGAGTTTCTTGTCGAATTCTTGGAAGCCAGGATGCGATGCGATACTGTGAAGGGAGTCATGGTAACCGTGATATCGTTGGTATTCCCAAATGTGAACTGTAATCATTCATCTGTCAGCGTTTGGGGGTGGAATAGATTCAAAAGTAAACGAGGATTGGACCGTACCAAACGTATCACAATCTCCAACCTCTGTTCTCCAACTTCCAACCAAGTGTACTTTATTCTCTTCCATTCCAGCCATCTTTGGATACCATTCCCCAACCAATTGGACATACTCATCAACCTTATCTGGCTTGACCTCATGAAACACGATCGAGTGTACATATTTGCCTCTAGCTAGAACTTGACTGAAACTCTGTTCAATCTCCTTTTCCATCTCACGACCTTCAGGAGTACCATAAATTAAACTACTTAGTTTTCCTTTCTTCTCTCCATTTTCGTTTGTGTGCTCTACTCCATTTAGTGTATGGTCTGCCGAAGCAGATTTCTGAGATTGGGAGGATAGTTTGGACTCACTTGCAGCTTCTTTCTTACGATGTTGTTCTGCGATTCTTTCTCGGAATTCTTTCTGCTTTGCATCGAATGAGGCCACACCTTGGGGGGTGATATTCGAAAGGGCTGGTGTACGAGAGAGAAAGGTGGATGTAGTCGCGAAGGCTCTAAGAGGTTGACCCGTGATAGAGCTGCGTGAGATTCGTCGTGTAAACATTTTGAAGTTGTTGATTGATTATGGGTGTGGTCAATAGTTGTAACGATTATTGGGATTGTTAGAAATTGGTTGAAGGATGAATCCGATTTCGTAATTGAAAATTCTACACTCTCAGAGAGGTGAAGGAAGGAATGTCGTTTGGTTAATTGAAGTATCGTATAATGGGTTGTATTGTATCTTCGTACTTTCCGAAGCGCCGGTATGATGTCGTTGCCGTGGTTGATTTACCCCGTCTCGTTTCGTCTCGTCTCGCTCGTTTTCGAATGCAAAGCAGATATAGAATTCAATATTCTCTAGAAGAATTGTTGTTGCCTCCTCCTATCTTTTTCGGAGATGCAATCAACAGAAACAAAGGAAGATGGAAGCTGCAAAGTAGGTTTGGCTTAGGTTTGATACGTTCGTAGCACAAGAAACCATATAATTGGCTAAAATGGAATCCAACAATAGCAAGCTTGTCAAATACCCCGCACTTTTTGACTGTTTTGTCCGTCTTAAAGTATAAAAAGCACTATCAAATAGTGAATAGCTCGAGCGGGAAAAGATCCAAATTGTATGGGCAGAAATAGATTGGTTCAAAGGTTCGTGTGGTTACAATACTTTGGAGGTGTGATGTGAGAGAAAGAGAGGAAGTCGTGAATGAACTGAAAGAGGAAAAGAGGACAACCAAGCTGCAGCTGGGCAGTGACGAAAGTGAGGAGTAAGGCAAGGATGTGGTGGCTCCATTTCGGATGAATGTGAGGGTTTGCGGGCTTGCGGGATTGGAGTTTCTTGTGGAGACCAATCACAATGCAGATTCTCTCTTGTATCCATTGGATTTGCATGGGGAAATGAAGCTGAAGATGTCGATACACGTGAAGATGGGCCAACAACCGTAGACTAAACTGATTGAGGAAAGTCTGAGCTTTTGGCCTCACGAACAAGGCACTCAGCATTTTCTGGAAAACGTGACATGTCACTAAGCCCAATACATTCTAGCCTTGTTCAGTTGCGGCCCTTCCCATAGTTGACCTCACTACTATCATCGGAATCACCACCGTCTAACCTCCAATCAACCCTCCGGTACAATTTCAGTCATATCCCACAGCACAAATTCACAATGTCTTGGTTAGGAAAGAAGTTCCCTGCGCCTGTCGGTATGTGAAGCCATTCAATTGCTAGCTGTGAAAAGCTTTCGTTCCGCACTTTTCCGATCTCCAAGTAATGTTTACTGATAAAATTGTCTTTTTAGCAAAGCCAATGGCTCCTTTCTTCGTTGCTGGTATGTTACTTTGAGAGCCATTCATCCCAAGTATATCGCGAAATGCAAAGGTCGAAAGCATCTGCAACTGTGGAGGAGCGGAACGGCTGGAGCCTGAACTATGGGCTAATATTACTTGGGGAATTAGGTGCCGTCATTATGTACGGAATCAACTCTGCTGCTACCGCAATGGCCAACAGTACGTCTATTCCATTGTTTGTCTGCGCACGTGGGCTGTAAAGATGTGCTTATGAGGGAATACTGACGAGAATGGCTATTACAGGCGAGGAGTTCAAGAACGATCCTAGAAACCCAAACGCAAAGACCCCAAAGCCAGCCGACAAACACTAAATGGGAGAAATGTCTGATAGGGGGCATGATGAATGGGAACTTGCATAGATCGAACCTATGATAGATCGGCTGAACGGAGCGTCGTTCCCATTATGGATGATATGTAAATTAGGAGACAATGAAATCATCTGGTGTCCTATAAATGAAGATCCTGCACTGTGAACTATCATGCAGGTTTGAGGATATAACAATATCTTGAGTTTGACTTGCAAATCAGTCGTTTCTAGCAAATTACTATAGCATGAGTAGGGGGGGATATCGAGTGAATAGCCTCGAGCGAGGATATTACATGCCTACTAAGTTCTATTGTATTTTCTCCTTTCAAAGTTCCTACCATAGTCCGAGTATAGGGGCGTAGTATGAGGCTTTTGTCTCCTAAGGTTTGTTTTCAAAGTTGTGAATTGCTTTGAGTTTGTACTTATTGGTCGCAATCACTGGTTCACATGTTGCTCAGGTAGGTAGTCTTGCAATGTCAAGTCTAGTGATCTGATAAAACCTGTCTTGCCTGTCTTCACTGTCCTTCTCAATTTCCTGATATGCTTTAATCATTCATATTTCTCTATCGCATAGTATGACTATGTTCAAGTTGCAAGTGCTCAGAATCATTGTGTTTGTGTTCAAGAATATCAAAGACCTAGTCATGTAGCTCCCTCTCTCTCTGAGTATTAAAAATATCAAAGCAGACCAACTCGTGAGTCTAAAAACCAAGCTCGAATTATGTGACTTGTCTCATAACCATCAACATTCATATCTGTTCTTCTATTGCCCAAAATTGTTCACACATAAGTCATCTCGGTCCTTGCAATCCCCGAAGAAGCTGAGGATATAGAGGATATAGTGAATTCGAACTGTGACACTTATGACACCTGATTGACCTTCCTGTTGCCTATGGCTCGACCCTGCACGGACCCCATAACAATCTTGACCTCGGGAATCATAACAAACCCTCCTCTGCTCATCAATTCTCAACTTCGATCTACAAACCTCTTACTTGATACTTCTAAAAAACAACTTCTTTTTCAACAAGTTTGCAAATCTATTGTTGTTGTGCTTGTCACAATAACTGTAGTTTTTGGACTACCCCCTCTTTGACATTGTACAAAAACCACATCCTTTTGCAAGTTTCCACAAATCTTCAACTTCGAGCCCTTGACGTGGAAAGTTGAAACTCCAGTTGATCAATCCGACTTACAGAAATCGATAAGCACTTGCTGCGTTATTTACTGAGAAATGACGCGCCAACCTTCCGATCAATCTCTCGACGCTCCTGGCCAACCCGCCAACCCTTTGCCTATCCCTACTACCCAATTCGTTCCTCAATCTACCCCTCCTCCCCAAATGTCTGCTGTTCAACAAACATCATCCTCGGACCATGTTTGTCGATCCATCAATGTTGTGTCCTGCAGCCGTGGACAAGGCCCAGAAGATGTTTTCGTACCACCTCCACGATTGACGTACTTGGATTTGTTGATCATGGAAAATTCAGGATTTCCGAGTATGGCTGAATTTGAGATCTTTCTCCAGCTGTACCAGAAATCATATTATCACATGGAACTAGCGGAACGCAAGAAGCTTTTCCAGCAAGTGGAGCTTCTTCGACAAAGTATGCGCCATCCGCAATCGGTTCAAGCGCTTGTAGAAGCACAGCAGAGTATTCAGGCCGGTCAACCGTTCCTCAGCCTCAAACATTATGCAAACTTCAGCCGAAATGGATCCATGCTTACCTCCATGATCAGTCGCTGCCTCAATCTTACCTCTTTAGCTCTCCAGCGAGCCGTTTTTAAAGCCGCAGCAGAAGTAAATAAGAACACCGATACGCCAAACATAGCAACCATTTCAGGCAAAAGCTGTGAAGACATTGTAAGCATTTTTCTCCTCGTCTTTGTCCAAGAAATAAACTAACGTTCGTACCAGTTGTCCCGTGGTGTAAAACACTGGACCGCTGAGGATATCTTGAAGCTCGAGACGATCGTCTACATCCGCCCCGCTGAGTACCACGTCAACAACCCTCCATCTAAGGTAACTTCGCGTACTGATTCCTCATATTTCTCGCATGAACCGCCTCTTCATTGCCCGGATCCTCCAGAGTATGGAAGTATGAAGATTGAGCCAAATGGTTCCGCTGTGCTCTTGCAACAACCATGGACATACAGCCAGTGTTTGGACTACCTCGCTGGTCGGACAATAAACTTCATGAATTCTCGTGATCCAGAAGCTTTTTTCTTCAGCTTGCCTTCGGACGACAAGCTTCAAGGCATGACGGCTGATCAACGCGCAGAGTGTGTTCGCAAGCATATTATAGAGCAAGATGCGAAGCGGGGTCTATCGAAATCAGACAAAAATTGGTATCCTATTCATTCGAAAACCTTTAAGCGTCCCATCGAAGGTACACATGGTAGTTTGGCTCCGGAGCTTGATACTACTGCATCAATCTCAAAAGGTGACCCTTACATCCAGGGAACCCTTGATAATCATCGATACCCCGGAACCCATGGTACATGCAGTAGTGAAGGTGGACATTTATTTGGATCACCATCGAACTCTGGTGCAGATTATGATAGTCGAACTAGACGTGGACGTCAGCCGCCATCGAGCATTGTGGCAGATGACGGATGTTGCGATTCAGACCTGGGGGATGACGATGATTCTGATTGGGCTCCCACTCAATCTGACAATTGGAGTTCGCCATCGAGATCAACAAAGCGTGTATCCTTCGCTGCAGCGGTGACAGACATACCAGGAAATCTTCGTGGACAGGGAAATAGTATCGTTCCATCTGATTCTTTCTCCTTTGCAGAGTCAGAGTCAGAGAATGATCAAGCGACCACTGTAGACAATGGACCATTGAGTGAAAACATTCGCGATCGTCAAGATTGTCTTTGGACAACTTCTGCAGCTCATGCTACTCCTGCGATCGAGGTTGCACTGGCTTCGGGTGATGAAAATGACAATAATGTCCCAGTTGTCCCACCTCGTGCCTCTGGTTCAAAGAGAGGAAACAGAAAGCGTTCATTGACTCGAGGTCGTCGAGTAGCTCAACCACGTGCTCAACGACGCGGTGGGGATTTTGATACCTTGCTTGATACTTTGGAGAAACACCATTCGCAACTGTCCTCACTCCCACATTTAAACAACGAGAAGCTCAATTTTGGGGATGAGAAGCATCAGACGGCTAGCAACAAGCCTCAAGGTATCCAAGCCCAAGAGTTTTTGTTTCCTACTTGGGAAGGAGTTCCAGTGCAACGCGGCGTTTCAAATGTTGGATATGCCCTTCAGGAAGATTCGATGCTAGCCATGCAAGAAATGTTACAGGAGCAGCAAAGAAAGAAGAGAATCCAATTACTGCAAGAACAGGCCGCTATGCAAGCTAGTCTTGTCTCAAAAACTGGTCCAAAAGATGATCATGACCTTGAAGCTTCAGCATATGAACCGGCATTATTAACAATGGAACAGGAAAGCAATAAACAAGTTGAATCGAAAGACCAAGAACAGGTTAACATGCCAGCTACTTATCCCTCCTGTGGAGATAGTGGTACCTACTGGGAGAATGGTGGTCAAACAAAGCCTGTAGAATCTTCTCTTGTTTCTCTCGGAAATGACAAAACTATCCTCAATGGTCCCCCAAAATTTTACGGTCTCACATCGAAGGAAGCTCAGCAAGTCGAACTTGGTCGGCTTGGAAAGGTTAAGAACCGTTCTACGCTCCAAGATCCCCATGCCGGAAAGACTTCTACTTCTGCCAGGGCCCCCAAAGACCGTAAACAAGACATGGCTACCAAGTTCGATGACCTTAAGAAATTTGCGGATGAGTTCAAGATGTCCACTCCAGTGCCAAGTGACATTGCCTTTATCAATCACGGTGAGGTTCCCGTGGCTGTCTGGCAGAATCACTCTCAGGATCATGCTAACAATTGCGATGAAGGTCCTCTTCGTATTGCGATCAAGGAAGACAATCTTCGTCGTGCTAAGGGTGCTCCATTTGATGAGTCGAATTTGGAGGTTATCTCGGTTGAAGAAGCTACTCGTCTTCTTGCTGCTCAGAAGTTAGCTAAAGAGATCTCGACTGCTACAAAGTCTGCAACTGGTACCTCTCCTCCCATTCCTGCAAGTCATCAATTGAATGGTTTCGATCTCGGCGTTACAGCTACAGCATATGATCAGGACCGTTTCATACGAGCTACCTATAGCAGCGTCAATAACTACAAGGCTAACCATGATATTCACAGCTTCGAACAAGATAACTCAATGAATGCTAAGTGTAGAAGGTGTTCTGAGAGATCGAGATTGAGATTGAGATTCAATAATTTAAGTGGCGAATTGTTCTGAGCAAGTGAGATGATGAATACGAATATTGCGAATGGATACACGGATGAGAGATAATGGGAAAGACATAACTTGTTTCTATTTATTCGAAGTTCTGAAATACATGCCGCTATTAGGGTTGTAGGATCAAGGTCAAACGAGCTCTGCCGCATATTCAGAGTCAGGAAGGCTCATAACTAGTTACTCTAAGGAGAATTAGACATTAATGTGGACAGTGCAGGTAGTCTAATTCATCAGTTAATCCTATGCAAAAACATCTTTAGTTCCATTGATTGACCTGAAGATTGTCATTTCTACTCAGGTGGCTCTACCTCCACTATACCAATTACTACATGACCACGTGCTAGTGACCTGGCGTGGATAATGAGAATTTGGTGAATACATCATTACGAAAAACAATCTGTAGATAAGATTTGTGGTTTCCCTTGCTTTCTGTTTTCTGTAGCTTGTCAAATTCTTCGACGGCTGAGCAGTTCCTGGTAAATCCAGAAAAATACTTTGAGGGCGAATTTTGATTCTTTAACATTCCCAAGTCGCTTTTATCTAGAAGCTTCAGTTCATCTCTCTTTTACACCACTTTTCACCTCAATCTACCTTCCTCTCCTTCTCTATCCCACTTTCTCTCCAGACTTGTAGTATTACGTGCAACGATGGATTTATCTCATCGCCCACCCCATCTAAGTGGTATGTTATCATTCAACTCATCATTTGTATTGAAATTCTGACCTGCCAATTCCCTCTAGATTCCGTCAACAAGATGTATTCTGTGTTTCACGTTCCCCGACTCCACCCAATCCCTCGTATACATACCGAAAGTCTGGTCGTTTACACGGCCTTTCGCAAAAGCTTCTTAACGCTATCTGATGTCGACCGCGTTCGCTATGGCAAGAAGAAAACTCGAGACACTCTCTTGAATTCATTCACTCCTCAATACATTGAGCAAAATCTACATGGCATTTCATTCGAACGCATGTGCGATTTAGTCCAGCACCTATGGACCGCGAAACACTTCCTTGCTGGATCCGAGTTGAACAAGCTATTCAAGGGCGCTTCCTATGAGCGACAGCAAGATCCTGCTTTTCGAAGACTTATCAATATCCCAATATTAGGAGAAGCGTTGGAAACTAACATCTGGCTATCGAACCATCAGTCACATCATAAGCCGCGTATCACCCCATCTTTCAAGATTAGAAAATTGCTTTCAACACGTCCAAGTCCTTTGCCACGCGTGGATCCTGGTGAAGTCAATTTCAATGGCGATAATATGACCAAATATCCACCAGTATCTGGTCCTTCCAAACCTTTTCTGGGTGCGTACGAATACGATTATGAGTGCAGCACAACTCTTCCCTTTCCCCTCCAACATTCTGTCCTCACGGTACTCCAAGATCTCATCGAAGAATCTCTGTTTAGCTTCGCATCTCAATACTTTCCCGCCTACCTAGCTTTGAACTTCAAAATTTGCCCCAAGTCTATTGAGCTTAGCAGCTGGAGAATGCATCTACACATCAACGCTTCTGATATTCGATTCAATCTTGCCTCTGGTTTTGTTCTTGAAGACTTGCATTTCTTTTTGGGTCGCTTGGATACAGTGAGAGACTTAGCTGTGCATCGGAAAGATGGTGAGCAGATTTTATGCACTTCATAATATTAGGATATAGCAGTGGCTAACAAATTCAGGGGTTCCTATTGAAGCGATCAATAGCATGTGCGCAGATAGCATTTGCTTGGCAAGAGCTTTAGGAGACCCACGAGCAGTTTTGCTAGGCTTGATACAGGAAAAAGTTCTCATGCTTTCAGAAACACTGTAAGTTATTCCTTAACATATATCGTCGTTTATTTCGCAGACTTTTGAACATTAACCTGTTCCTCCTCGCCCCTTGAAGAAGGATTTACAGGTGCTATGAGCTAATTCATTTTTACACGCTAGGCTAAAGATACAACCACTACCTCAACATTCTTCCTTCCTTGGACTTGAAACCGATCCGACCATGAAATCGAACATCCAATTCTTCATGAAGGCCATATCTGCTTCACGTATTCTCATATCCTCCCCTGAAGCATGGATATTATACTCGGAGAGATACGAAGAAGTTGTAAAAATGCTACGTCGCTTAGTATATTATAATGAACAGGAACGTAGGACCCCGTCGCCTGCCCGTTTCCACTATTGATACTAAGGCACGGGAAATTTTTCATTCGATGGGGAGGTTTTGGAGCATGTATCAAACCATGAGGTGTCTACCCTCTGGTCTTTCGTCTATTGTTGAGGGGCATAACGAGCAGATTTCGGATGATGATGAGAATACTGAAACATCAAATCATCAGCAGGATAGTGAAGACAACTGGTTGCTTTCGCAAGTTAGGGAACTTCTTGATGAAGAGTTCGATTGGTAAAGTTTTACAGATAATTTTGTTCATGTCAAATCGAGGATTGTGGTTGGCTTGAGTAGGATGATGAAAAATCAATGTAAATGGACATCAAAATTACCTTAATGTATAAAGAAATTCATTCATTGAACGTCTCTTTCCATTTAAGTGCAATATTATCAGAAGGCATTTTTCTATTGATTAGCAAAAATGCAAAGGAGTTTTAATATCAGTGTACTTTTTTATGAATGCATCCTTTCTGGATTCTGGGATACTTGTGATTCGATCACTTCTGCCTCACGACCCAGGAGACACTTCAAAACAATAAACAATATCTTCCCGCAAAAAAGATTGTGGAAGGAGAACAACGGACTGCGAATGATGGGCTTATTGCAATTCATGAGATAGAGCTGAGGAGACGGGTAGTAACAGAGCCTGCTGTCACTCTAAGAAATACATTTTTGCTACAGGTAATATTTTAAGATAAGTAGACCTTCTTTCATAGATAACCATTTACAAAATTTGATTGCTTGAATGATGTAGCACCTTAATATTATCTTTTATGCCATATCAGCTCCTTGTTTTTGAAATAATTGTTAGTTTGAATTTATAACACTTTCTGAACAAGCATACAAATTATCTTCTCTGGCATTGTACTAGAAGACATCTTTATACTACTAGAGGTATCCCAGCCTCGATGACCTTATATGTTGAGCATCAGGATAATGATTGGTAAAAGTTGAATTGTAGAGATGTTTGCTGTTTGGTATGGAATTCTTTCAGTCTACTTCATGCGTATTTGCTCCTTTCATCATGGGTCTAAGGGTTAATCTTTCTTGTAAGTGATTTATTCAAGAACTAACTTTTCCTCTCTTTCATGCCATCCATATAATCACCTGGAAGCCCTCCGAAAATGATCACAAGGTGTTCAGTTTAAGCCGCCCAATCCAAATTTAATCCTTCACGTTTCTCAGCAATAGCTCTATCCGTCAACGCACTCTCAAAATCCCCTCAGTCTGAAACTACACTCCTAATACTAAACGAAGATCCCCGAAATTCAACATGGACGGCGGTCCTCTTTGTATCTGCGACATTTGCTGTTCTGAAGACGCTTCAGAAACCTCTGAAAACTCACCACCGCAGACGCCAAGTCACGATTCAGAACAAAGGAAAGAAGATCTCGATGAAGATTATAACCAACGGTGCACTAGCCTCATTGAGACCGAAGAGGATGGGGAAAAATTGAAACAAACTTTGGATCGGGGGGATGATCTCTCTCAGAATGAATTCAGACAAGTAGAGAAGAGGAAGTTTGGGCGGATTTCGGACGATGCATGTGAAGTTACGGGGACGAAAATCGAGGAAATGGAGAGACTTGCGGAGCGGTGTAAATTCTGCATGAAACGTATGTCAACGGGTGAACTCGGCAGCGGCAGCTGTAGCGACTGTGAGATTGATGACGATGAAAATGATTTGAGAGAAGTTGATGGTGTTGAACAAGAGGATGGATGCCATGATATCTGCGACGATGATTGGGAATGTTCTGCTGAAGAGTTGGAAGCGGCTTTTTGTGAAGATGAGGAGCTTTCCTGTTTGTTCCACGGCGATTGTGAAAATATGATGGAGTGTTGTATGTGACGACTATTAGACTTATACCGAGATGAAGGAGGTAATATTACGTGGGATGACGAGAAGCGGAGAACTCGATGAAGATTCTACGCATGTCACACTCTACTATGTGCTGTGAAAGCAAATTAAAAATAAGGAATTTTCTAATCAATCAGTCATTCCAAAATTGAACTTGACATGCAATGTGTTTTCGTGGTGCTGTGCTGACATCTCAAGATCCCAGTACGGTCAATTTTTTTTCTCGTCACTCATCAATTGATATTCACGCCTTCCCTAACTCAAAAATTACAATCACACCAGTTGTACACATATTTGATGTTCATTCACTTATCCATTGTAAGATTCAAACATGCACCATCAACAACCCCACAAATTGCAGAAGTCAAAAAGGAAAGATCGAAGCACAATTCTCAAAAGGTCACTTTCCTCCATCACTCCATCTCTCGCAAGATTTGGCAAAAGACGATCATCAAGTTTAGGAATAAAACCTCAAGATTCAATTATTACAGCTGCTCTTCAAAGAATATATGATCCTAGTCAAAATCGTGATGCTACCGGAGTATCTATCAAAGTCAGAGAAAATTCGCCAGCATTAGAGATTTCTATGGGATCCATCACGGCAACGAATCCAAAGACAAAATACACAAGCCGTTGGATTTCATGTACAAAAGCTACCTCATCTCTTTCGGGTTCTCCAAACATGCAGACAGATCTGCAGATACCTCGAAACTCACTTCAAATCACTCCTTCTCTATCGTCAGATATGAGTTCAGATGAGGAAATCGGGGGTCGCAACATTCAACTTCCTGCAAAACTACCCGAACGTCATAGAATGAATATACAGGATAATTTTATAAAGAGTCTGATAAGCAAGCTTACGAAAGAGAGACGGGAGAAAAAGTTGATATTGCGAGGCACAAGAAGAGACAGATATCTGGATTCCGTGAAAAGAGTTATGGATAGTGGTTGGGTCATTCAGTCGCAGGTTCTAGACAAGCTCAAACGAGGGAGAAAAAGGAAGTTGGATGAGCAGAGTATATAGCTGGGGTTTTGATGGAAGTTCACGTGTGTATTTGGTCAATATGGGGGAACTGGTTGTGCTTTCAGTCAGGCATCAATTACACATATACTTTCCAGGACTTTGGGATGAGTGATCATTGCAGGATTGGTTTCATGATCAGCGGCGAATGCAGTCTTGATTTTAAATGGTCATTTGAAGCGTCGATGAGGCACGATTGAAAGAGTTCAGATTTGAAGACTTATTCATTTAGTTACAGACAGTGAGACTAGACAAATGTGATTCTAGAGTAATCGAATCAGATTAAGTTTGTTCTGGAGCAGATATTCAGCTTTTGACAAAGTTGGGCATGTTTTATGAGAACAAATAAATCGACCAACGCATTCATAGGAGTGTGCAGAGGGAACTTCAAGGTTTTTATCCAGAAGTACCTAAATTTGCGGCTGCGGAGAGTTCATTTGAGTGGCATGTAGCATAGTTATACATAGTAAACTAGTGAAAATCATTGAAATTTTCGACTTATTTCTTTTACCGTGCATCTGAGAGTATCTTCACTTTCAAACATTTTCACTATGACAAGCTCACAAAAAGATACACAGGTACATCCAAATATGAAAATATAAAAATCGACAAAATTAACTGCCAAGTGACGGATGTATCAGTGATGTCCCCTCTTTCCCATCCAACGAAACTCGCATTCCTGGATAAAAACTCACTCTTCGACCAGACACTACCTCCGAGTAAACAGAAAGGGCAGAAGATACCAAACCTCAATAGCTCCACAGCTTCCAAAACAACAGAGGCCAAAAAACCCCAATCTCAAATAAATAAGGAGGGAAATATCAAAAATTCTGTCGCAAGGACAATGTTTCTGCGAAGCAAAGGCTACGAAACCTCAGCCTGCTCTTAACGGGGAATGATTATCATTAGTCCCACCTACTAACTTGTTTTCAAGCTGAACGATTATCTAACGAGGTAAGATTCCCCAATCACTTATTAAACGGTCAGTTACAGCCAAATTTTGGGGCACCTTGCTACTTAATGATTTTTGCTGGTTGAAATTTGTATAGAATTGCAGAGTAGATGTTAAGCGAGGTGTATTACCCTTTCTCCACTTTAATTTTAGAAAATAGTGTGATCATCAAGTTGCAACTGAATCGGTGAAAACAGCACGATTGAACCCAATATCGAATCGCGATCTGTCAAATTCTTTAATAATACTGATATCAGCTTGGGTCTTCAGAGTACATTATGACATTGAAATCTCGAATAAACACAAGGGCGCTTCTCAAATTACTTCCTGCATGAATCGTCTGCATTCAAGGCCCAATGTGCCTAACGGATTTTTTGGGCTGTTCATCAATCTCTCCTTTACTCTAGAGTTACTGAGCTCTTGGTAGTTCTAGCTGTGGTCTCTTTATCAATGTTCCATGCCAAAAATGATTCAATTGTTGCTTCAAGGTTATCGTCACGCGTTGGTGATTGGAAGCACATAACCTTATTCTAAGTTCGATGAAATCCACGTGTCTTCCAAAAAAAAGTCATTCTCGACTCTCATGTTCTTGAAGAACAAGTCTAAGGACTTAATCTCTTTGGTGTTCTTGGGTAATCGCAAACCAAATGCACACTCGGCAAATTCAAATACCAAGCCACAACTCTATCCAGACCAATTCCTCCACCACCGTGAGGAGGCACACCGACACTCTTGAAAACATCTACATATTCTTTGATACCTGGTTGGTTGGGGTCCAAGCCCTTCGATCTGATCACCTCCTCCAGTTGCTCTGGTAAATGTAATCTCTGACCACCGCTCAGAATTTCTTGTCCACGCATCATGAAGTCATATGCGTTGGTGACGGCAGGGTTTTCGGGATCTGGCATCGCGTAGAATGGACGAGCATCGACTGGGAATTTGTCAAGGACATAGAAATCAGTATTAAACTTCTTACGAACGAGTGCTCCGAGAGCCTTTTCTTGAGGTGTGCTCATATCTTCGGTGTCGGTGACGTTTCTGAATTCTTCGGGCCCTTCTTCACGAAGGAGCTTTTGACCTTCGGCAAAAGTAAGACGGACTTCCTTGCCAGGTTCGGGGAGAAGGAACTCTTCGGATGGGTAAATTGAGCGGATAAGCTCAATTTCTTCGCGGTAGTTCTCGGCAAGGTTGCGGAAAATGAAAAGAAGAACACCTTCGAGCATGTGCAAGACTTCGTGATAATGTTCATCAATTTCCATCTCCAAATCAAGACCAATGAACTAGTAATAATTTAGTATTTCATCATCTTTGCAGAGCAGGATTTATTACCTCAGTCATGTGTCTTGGAGTATTCGAATTCTCTGCACGGAAAACAGGTCCAACACAGTAGACTCTCTTTCGGCCTCCGGCGATTTCAAATTGTTTGTAAAATTGTGGGGATTGGGCGAGATAAGCTTCTTTGTCGAAGTATGGCATTCTGAAAACGTTTGCACCGCCTTCGGAAGCAGCTCCGATCAAACAAGGAGGATGAAATTTCTTGAAACGATGGCTTCTCAGATAGTCGCAAAAGTAGTCCTCGACAGCGATCCGGATATCAGCGATAGCTTGGCTGACAGGTGCTCGTTTGTGCATAGCGGGGTTGTTAAGGTGAGAGGCCAGACTGGCTGTTGGAGTGCCTTCTGTGACACTGAGACCTATGGAAGTGTTAGCTCATGAGTGAAGATCAATGTAGGATATTGATTTACCGGCAGCAGCTTCACTAAGATCTTCTTCCTCATCCAACTTCCCTACAGCTCTGCTCGCTGGTCCCAATCCCAATCCCAACATCTCGGGCGCAGTAGCTACCAAGTATACCTTTCCAAGATGTAATTCGAAGTTCGAAACCTTTGTGCTCTTAACAGGCTCCAATGGCTTCTGTACAACAGCCTCAACGGCAACAAAACTCTCCAGCTTTAACCCTCCAATCCACTTGACCATTTGTTTGCTGACCGGCTTGCCCTCCGCGCTGGCACTCACAACTCCCTGGACTGTCCAGTTACCCTCCTCTCTCAACTCCACAAACGCCATCTTCGCTCCTTGCATTCTTGCATTCTGAATCCATGCACGAACCTTGATTGTCTTGCCAATATGTTGTTCTCCAATCTCCCTCAGATGTACACTTTCGGCTTCGATCTTAGTGGTGTGTTTAATTTGTCCATAATCATCTTTCGCAAGATCCTCAGCAGCAGCAGATCCAGCGGCAGCTTGTTTAGCAGCTTGCTCGGCGGCTTTGCGTGCCTTTTCTGCTTCCTTCTTGGCTTTGGCTTCTGCTTTTTTGGCTCCTTTCTTAGAGGGTTGTGCGGGGTCTTCACCGGTAGGTGGGGCGCCTCCAGCTGCGATGGCGGGGTCAGTTGGAATTTCTTTACTTGGTTCCGCCATCTTTGCGATTGTGAAGAGATTAGCTGTAAGCTCGGGTGGTGTGGAATGAAAAACTTCACGTTTATAAATAAAGTAAAAAAATAATGGAGGGGTACTTGTGTATAAAGTTGTGGTCATGTTATGAGTAATGCGGCAAGAATTTAAGCGCCAAGGTCATAGCTTTTTTTCGGACAGGGGTCACACAATCAGATGTCATCGTTGAGATTTTTGTGTGTATTCTTCTTTTGAACATAACATAAGTAATCTGGCTATCGAGACAAGTTCATATAACCTTTCGTTCAATCCATAGGTAAATTCATCGTAACAATACAACAGATACCAACCATCTCAACTGCCATCTTGGCCCGACCTATTATGATGAATCCTCACCCCGTTGAGAAGGGTCACTAGGTGAGCTCACCGATGAATGAATCTTATTCATTTCTCCAGCTGGAGTCACGATGAGGCTTGATGACTTTGATGGGCTTTCTGGTACGTGCTGCGCTGAGAATTGATGTCTTGCACGAGTCGAGTGGTTCTTCAAAATCCATGTCTTGTCCAGAACTTATTATCTCTCCTAAGCCGAGTATCTTCAGTGATATGAGTAATATGTCTCTCGAGCTCAATACTACTTCTGGACCAATTCTTTCTCCTGGATTGATTGGTTCCCAGAAGCCTATCGTTCGTTCTAGGCTAAGTGTCTCTGCTAGGTCAACTACTTTCCCTGATTATGCAACACACTGCTAATTCGATTATTTTTCTTCAACCGATCATTTCTCTTGAATGTACTGCCTGCACTGTGTTAAGAACATCTTCTAAGTTGGGAACTCTTCCTGGGCCAAGTGGTCCTCTTCTCAAGTCAAGGACTTCTTCCAGATTAATTACTGCATTCTGAATTCAGACGCCTTGAGCTCATAAAGAAAGTTCAGCAAACATTTTTTTGCCAAAAACATTCAATCTTATAAAGAAACGACAATTCATTCACTAAATATGACTATAGTTCTCGAGCAATTCTATTTGGGAAGGTTTTAGCTGACATGCATGATTTTGCGCGTTGAGATGTGCCCTCTTCTCCTGTATTTCCAGATCTCCGACATAACCGTCCCATTCACCATCAACTTTTCCCGAATCCTGATCCCAAAGAGAACATCAAGCAAATTTATAAAACAATTGGTACTTTTGACAAAATGAAAACCGCTATCTGAGTAATGTGCCAGAACATTACAATTCACCGGTAGGAATTTTGAACGCCGTGCTCATTGGTGAGCAATTCCCCTCTTCACTGCTAGAGTCCTCAATCTGGGTATAATCTTGGAGATTGCTACAGATATAGATAGTACCTGTTTGATTGGAGAATCCGTTGAAACGCGTCGCTGTAGCTGAAGTATAAGCTGTAATTATAGTTAGTCCACCACCAGGAAGAGTGGTCCAGTCTGAGTTCTCACCTCCCATATTTCTATACACCAAAAAATCGCCAACTTTAACTTCGCAGCCGAAAGTGGTGCTCCGACTCACACAATCTGTACTGTCACATGTTGGCCCCCAAATCTTGTAGGTATGATTCCCGGTCTTGCGTGCCATCGTCGTATTTAATTTGCCTTTGATTAACGTTGGCATGAACTCTTCCTTTTCAATGAGCCCATTCATAAAGTTTCCGTATACACCATCGTTTTGATATAACATTTCCAAAGTTTTGGAAGATTCTGTCGTCGTTGACACCCGGCGTGCTATGATTTTGCAAACAAGTATAAATGCGCTGCGCGCATAGAAACGTCCAGGCTCTGCAATGAAAGTTGTCTGCTCTGGAAATACTGCTTCAGATATGGCGCTAGATACAGCTGCGGCCATATCTCCAAATTCAGATTCTGTGGACTGAAATCCACCGCCAATATCGAGAATTCTTAAGGAAAATCCTAAAGATTCTGCAATATCCCAGACCAATCTTGAATCTTGAACGGCTTTTCGAATTACCGCGGGATCTGAAGCACCCGACCCTTGACATAAAGTTAACACTGTAACACATCACCATTATGGGAGGGCTCTCTACCAATATGAAAACTAGTTCCAATGACATCCATACCCAGTTTTTTCGCGCGTACAAGAAGTGCTTGAGCCGATTCCAGGGGCGCACCGTATTTGTCACCTAGGGCAACAAGAGCACTATTATCATTTGCAAAAATTCTAAGCATCAGTTGTGCGTTAGGCATGTATTTGTTTATGCTATCCAGCTCGTCGAGATTGTCGAAGGTCGTCTTTCGTATCCCGGCATTGTAGGCAAAAGCGAGTGCTTCGGGCGCCTTGCATGGATTTGCGAAGATAATGCTACCAGGATGAGCACCCAATGACAGGACAGTATGCATTTCCTCCACGGATGCACAGTCAAATCCAACACCGAGTTGCATGAGTATTCTCAGCATTACGGTGTCAGTATTACATTTAACGGCTATTTTGCACATCAGTTCCAAAGAATACAAAAGTTGCTGAGCTCCATCTTACCATAGAATGGCCGGACGAAAGGCAGATGAGATGCCCAAAGATCATGTTGACGTCGAATCACTTCTATATCTGCAACGAAGAATGGATCGTTATAGCCAAGTATATGTGGGAACTGTTCTATATGAGCAATATGTTGGTATATGGTGTTGTTCAACAATTGTTCTGCGGGTTTTGGTGATCCTCTCCAAGTGCTAGTAGTTAAATCCGACATAGTTGAAAGGATTCGGTTTGTTTTCCCAGAAGTTGGATTCTGAAGCACGCAGCATCTTCGTGAGTTGGGTTTTGTAAAATCTCATGGCAATCAATTTTAAGGGAGAGACCCTTTACGTATTTGTGCCACACTAAACTTTAGACCTGCTTGGTACACTAAATCTTAGATGTTGGCTACACAAAATCTGAGATGTATGTTTCAAATCATACGGCTTGTATTGAAAAACACACATGTCTCACCGCGGGTCATTTTGCTAGTGACATATTACCTTGAAATCTGCACCCCATAGAATCCTAAAGTTTTGGATATGACCATTACACATTAATAAAGATGAATTTTCATTTCAATTTCGACTATTTTTCCAGGAGCCAATAAAAAGAACTATTATGGCTAGTTGAAGGAAAGAAAGTGGCAATTATGGGTCATTTTCTCTGAGAGGACAGAGTGGCACGTCTCTCGATTTACTTTACAAATTCTACCAATATTCCTGGCATACTAGCCACTGATTGTTCAAACCGTTCAGTTGTTTGAAATATATCCATATAATCTGAAGACATTAGAGGCATGGCGAATAGATCAGAAAAGCTGAGATATCAACGCCGAGCAGACACCGCCGGAGCGAAACAACTTTCTCTAGGGGCGTTCCCCTTGCAACAGCAACATTTCTTAAGACAATTAGAGCGAATTTTGGATCCGAGTATGCTAAATCCATACGCATTCCAGGTAAACGCTGTTGTTAAACTTCGATCAATTTCAGTTCAGGGGCTCCTTTTTTCAATAGCAGCGGCGGCCTTGAACCATATAAGTGATGCTTTTGCCAAATCGAATGTTCCATAACTTAAAAAAATCAACAGGTTTCAGGGAAACATGACGAATATTTCTATGCTGCATAGTGTTTCAGTCTATCTTTGAAGAACATACCCTTATTGGGCATGACAATCACGCCAATTCATGGGGAAATGCTTGTTACTTGGAGAAGATCGATGGCCATCTGAAACAATTCCATTTTGTCAATGCCGATCAATGCTTGTTCTTAGGAGGACATGCCTTCCGTGTGTGGCCCGTGTAGCAAAGATTTTTAATACATGGTCGACAGAGCAACGTTGTCAATCTAATTGAAGATTTCTACGTCACATGGGCCAAAATCGCTAGACATTCGAATATTACACGAATTCTGGAATCAAAAACAATTCATCACAAATAAAAACTACATTCATCAATAATTACAATAGGAGTACATGCACACGGAGTCATCAACGATGATTGTATCTTTATGCCATAATTTATGCAAGTATGAATTTAAAATGCTATCTACTGGTCTTTGCATAACCCGCCTTTCTCGAATTATTCACACAACCTTGTGTTTCCATGACCCAATGCTCTTGCATATCCAACTCTTCTTTTTCCAACTCAAATTTTTGCAGAAAAGAAGACTAAAAAACATTCCTACACCGTTTCCCAACCACATTCATTCAATCTCAGCAGCAGGAATTCTCAGAGCACACTCGCCCTTTCCTGGAGATTGCTCTCCTGATTCCTCTTCTCGCCCCTTTCCATTCTTCCCATTGCCATCTCTGGCTACAATTTCTCCTCCAGATCCGATCCTGCCCTCCCAAAGCTATCAAAACTCGGTCCAATAGTTTCGATCAAGATACAAGCATCCTAAAACGAGCGAGTATCTAAATCCTCCAACTTGGTCACAACATCCCGAAGAGATGTAGATGAACGGCGAGATCTGCGTAAGCTTCTGACTACCTTTGAATGATTGATTTTCATTGCATTCATAACAGTAGAAGCAGTCGGTGAGGGATTGCAGATAGAGCTTCGTCTGCTATTGCTACGAGATGTCGCTCCAACTCCAGACCCAGCCTCGGATGCAACATGTGTTGATTTCAACAAAGTCTGATGGCGAGTCAGAGAGGGTCTTCGTTGGCGTTCGGGCAATGGAATATCGAGATCCATTGCATCATCCAGATCCATTGCGTCTCCATCGTCATAGTAATTAGGAGTGGAATTGATCGATCCTGTTGGGACTTGACTGGAAGCAAGTGAAGTGTTTGCCACGATTAAGAACACTGCATCATCGATATCCATGGGATCCTCATCGTAAACTGTGTCAGAAGTAGCAGTCGATGGATTTTCAAGCATAGAATTTTGGGGTTGAATGCTAGCTGGGATGATTCCGACTCCAAGCCAGATATCCGGACTGTTTTGTGCGGGTTGCGGTGTGGGGAGACTCTCAGATGGTCCGTATTGGTGAACCACAGGCGCAGGAAAGAAGACATCTGGGGCGCTGTTTCGTGAACTATCAGGACCCTCAGAAAATGATCTTGATCTAGGCTTGGGCTTTGTAGATTGTGACCGACAGAAGCTCTCCCAATCTCCATATTGAGATACGTCAGATGATACGTATTGGTGAACCACAGGCGCAGGAAAGAAGACATCTGGGGCACTGTTTCGTGAACTATCAGGACCCTCAGAAAATGATCTTGATCTAGGCTTGGGCTTTGCAGATTGTGACCGACAGAAGCTCTCCCAATCTCCATATTGAGATACGTCGGGTGTGGAGTAGCGACGGCTGGGGGTGTTGTCTCTGCTGATACTCACATCCTTAGATGTGGGTATTAAATGAGATCTCGAATCGCCATATGGTAGTTGTGCAGCTCTGCAGTCTTGAACCGGAGCTGTTGCGCCCTTTGGTCGACGGAGAGCCGATGGATTGTAAATATTACTTTTCCCCCCATGTTTAGGAGTGGAAGAAATCATGGTCATGTAAAGACTCTTGGTGGGACGTGGTGTACGACCGCCAACTTTGGGTTGCGCGATGTTAGATGATGACTTTGGCTTTTGAGCCACGGCGTTGAAAGATTGCTTTGGGGTTGTCCGTGGCTCATAGAGGCGCTCTTTAGTACTGAGCAAGTCCGAAGGGCTGCTTTGATTTGCAGATACCAGCCTGTCCTTATTGAGAACTGGCAACCCAATAGCTATTCTGAACCAATCGCTCACCAGATCCGTGTCTGTGAATTTCCGAAGCCCACTCATCAAGCTCAATGATGGCGAAAACACGTTTTGCAACCATAATTCATTGACAATCAACTGTAACCGACCAAGGTCAACTCCATACAGATCACAGCTTTTCTTCAGGAATTCTCTTCCGAACATCTCAAGCAGAGGCACACTTTCCAATCCCCAGCCGTAGTCATTTTGTTGTCTGCGTGTAAGCTTGGAGAAAGGAGTGCGGAACATGAGGACTACCGAAAGACGTTCGAAGTGTTGAGCTGGGTTGCGATGCAGTGGCAATAGAGATCTGAGTTGTAGGATGTCATCTCGTTTGGATGCTTCGAGTGGTTCAGGAGCTTCGATCTGTTTTGAAGCGAGGAGGTATGCAATATGTTGCTCCCTTCTCTTGTCCCGTTCAAGAGTCTGTTCAATATCGTGTTCAACATTGCTAGTTCTACTAGCTTGCCCCCATTTTGCTATCCAACCGCGCGGATCCATCTCGTTGCTGGACATGTTCAAAAGAGTCGAAGTTGCAGTTGATGGAAGGTTTTGGGTTTTGTTTGAAGTCGTTCGTGAAGAATTTGTGAGTGGAAGTTGGTATTGAGAGTTGGGTCGATGAGGAAGCTTTGTGATTTGAAGGTAAGTTTTGACAAGAAGCCAATGAATGAGATAGCAAATTCTCGACAGCGGGGCAAGGCCTTAATATATTAAAAGAGGCCAGCGACGACAGGTACTAGTGTATGATTTGCTTATCAAATCCGCGCATGTGTATGTGTTTACGGCGCTGGTACGGTAAGTTGTATATGTCAGCAAAGTATTTTCGGTTCAATATCTTTGCTGCAGTGAGGATCGTATCAACGACTTGTTGTCTCTTCTCCCTCTCAAGGGTGGAAGCGATAGCAGGCTTACTTATGTGTTCTCGATAGGATATCTTTGCTACGGCGAGAACCGTATCGACTTTGATGTTACCCAAAGTCGCGAATCATATGCTTATATCAGCACAGTGTTCTCAGTGAGATATCTTTGCTACGGTCAAGACCGTATCAGCTACTTGCCGTTTCTTATTTCGCTCAATATCGCGAACAATATCATGCTTATATCAGCACACCATTCTCAGTAGGATATTTTTGTCACGGCGAGGACCGTATCAACTATTCGATGTTTTTTCTTTCGTCAACAATGTGAAAGTCAGCATTCTTATAAAAAACCCAACATTTTACCGAGACGTCTTGTCTACTGTGAAGACCGTATTCACCCCTAGAAGTGACTTATGATATTGATACGGTCGAATAGATTCCGAATATGCCATCACACCCACGAAAGTGAATTTCTCGAAGTCTAGGCAACTACCTACTTCTAGCCCTAATATTCACCGTATGTAGATACTTCGGCTAATCCACTCCAGTTTGGCGAGAGAGAATAGGCATTATGCGCATCATCCCAAGAAAGTCTAAGCAGACTATAACATCAAGAAAATGATAACCGTTTGGATAACCAAAGTAGATCAAAGACGACGTAGGATCTACTCTATAGTTATCAAGTACCATTATACCTGACGCTGTGTCAATATGAAGTACCATAAAAGTAGCAGTGAAAGTGTTTCAGGGCCCAAGGTACAACCATCGCTAATTTGATCGAGTCCAGAATCATCTGAAACGACCGAAGATTAAGCAAGTTGGTTATGCATTATGTTGATTATGATTGCGTAAAGCTTTGATTACAGAATCAAAGGTTATATGATTGAAAGTCATAAAATCAAAGAAATGCTGGTGAGGGGAGTGCACGAAGCGAGTTTCAGGCTCCGTGCGATATGGTGTTCTATCTAGGAGTCAAGCAATGCGAAAATGAAGCAATACTTATATAGATCTTGCTACGAGAATAGCGCTCTCGCTAGACCACTACAGTACGTAGATAGACTTGTGACTTATGATCATTCACCATTATCCATAGGACAAACAACCAAGTAGGGATCTAACAATCAAGAAGATCACAAATTGTACGGTATTCAACCCATCGCTATCTTTCCCATCTACTATGAAGTAGCTTCATTGGATATAAACACGAATCACACGATTAGATTAGATTTAGAAATAGCTTTAGAATATTAAATCTGATAATACAATGCATTCCAGATCAAACCATCAAACAACACAATTCGAAAAAATTGATCCTCATCCAACCCTTACACATGCATTCTATCTACAACCTCCTTCTTCCCCATTCCCTCTTCTCTGCAAGCACAATCTCTCAATCTAATTTATCTCCTTCCCCTTCCACACTCTCCCTATCTCTCACATCTCACATCTCCCATCTCATATCTCCCATCTCACTTCACCCACCCACCCACCCTACACTCAACACCAACATCAACATCAACCTCTCACTCTACTAACCCCCTTCCTAAAAAAAAAAACCTTCCACTCCAACCCCCTAATCCACATACACCCTCCCTCCACCCCCTCTCCAAACCTCACCCATATATCACCACCCTCCTCTCCCCTCCCTCCCACAAACAATCACCTACCTACCAAAACACAACATCTCAAAATCTTCACAAACGAAATCAAAGATTCCATCTAGCATCAAGTCAACCAACGATCCAATCTCCAACCAATTCAATACCTCGAGATACACAAACTCAGATAGAAAACACGATATACTCATCACGCCACAAAATTCCTCAGATTGCACAACATCAACATCACACATCGCACCTTTCTCTCAACCTCTCTCAAAATCTCAACCCAAAAAAAATTGACATAATATGTAAATTGAAAACAGCCCCCAAAGTTCTACATACATACATGCATAAATACAAACAGCAAACGTCCACTATTAATCATTACCACGGGCATCATCAAAAAGAAGTCAAGGCCAGAATAATTCTATCCTTGCTTCTTCCATTGCACTTTCTCCATATCTCCAATCTAGCCAATATCAATCTAGCTAGGTAAATGCAAGTGAATACTAAACCCAGGCCAAAAACCCAAACCATGCGGGGACATGCATGCCAATTAAGTTCAAACCAATCCATGATGTAGCCCCCAAACGCCAGGAAAAATATCAATTAACCCTCAAAGCTTCCGTTGGAAGTATGACACCCTCAAAATCCTACTTGCCCAATGAATTTATGCAACGCTATTATGCATTTAATTTATATACCCCAACTCCCGATACACCGTACAATGTGATAATTGATCAAGACTCGCTCTAGCTTATCAATCCATTAAGCTAATCTTGAAAGAACATGTCCTACCTCAACCATCAGATCAATACTCCGTTGATGGCACTTTTCGCTCCGCACATGAGAACAGATTTATGTGATTATCGCCTCTAGCAGCACAAGCTAACATCATACGATGCGGATGGAAAGCCGTAGCTGAAATGGGTGATTGACGAGCTTGATGTAAGAAGCTCGAGTATGGCTCCACTCTTGAGAGCTCTCTGCCATCGAAATTGAAAACCTTGACTGTATGATTTCCAGTGCCACTACAGATAAATTAGTATTCTTCAAGGAGAGAGAAAGGAAGTAGACTTACACAGCAAATACTGGAAGATGTTCATGAGTGCTTGCAGTACGTAGAGTATCCTTTGTAGCCTGAATAACTCGTAGTGGTTTGTCCATTCGAATGTCCCAAAGTTTAACTTTACCGTTGCGACTGGCGGAGAGAAGCTCTCTTTGACCACCTCGTTGCATATGCACACTCTTGATCCATACCCTGTCAGATTCATCTTTCCATTTCTTAACCATAGCTTCTTGTGGCTTGTTTCTAGCGTCAAATACTCTTATGGCACCATCACCAAAACCTGCCACGAAAACATTACCTGTCATTTGATCAGAAGTCAAAGACGTGACACAAGAGCCGGAGCGAGCATTGATATCAACAACACAAAGCTCTGGCGCCGCAGCCCACACTCTGATCACCTTTACATCACCGGCTACCAGGAGTTTTCCAGTAACTTGTTGCCAGTCAAATACCATACCAGAGTTGACGTTACTTGGGACAAGATGCGTCAAAGCCCTCCATGCCGAAGCAACCTCAATCTTTTTGTCGGAGTCATAATTCCTATAAATACGAATAACACCATCTGAAGACCCCGTCAACAAAAAGGCTTGATCGTCCTCATTGATAAATTGCAGATCACTAATCCTGGAACCTTCCGGATTACCATTTGAAAATCGACTAAGGCGGTCTTGCTTCTTCCAGTCCCAAACACAAATCGTGTCGCGATCATCAGACACGGCAAGATGATCTTCAAATTGATGGAGAGTCATTTTCGTCGGTTGGCTAGAGTTATTGAAAAATCCAGTAGCGTGCGTCCATTTGCCATTACCGGCAATTTCTTTCTGGGGTTGAGTATCGCGTAGAATTGCTTCATTCCTCGATCGTCTCCAAAGTCGTTCGTTATAATCAGTACTTCCAGGCTCCTCAGCTTCGTTTGGTTTCATCTGGGGTTCGCGGAAGTATTCAATCGACCATTCTAGGAAAGTACTTTCCAATGGGATGGTACATGGTTCCGACAGGTTTCGAGGTTGAAAACCGCCTGATGTTGGCTCATTTGCTGCATGATATGTGCCTGGGGTCGATGCGATATCATTCTGCTCCGGTGGAGAGTTAAAGTCTGGCGGGAGACGTGATCGCGTTGGCAAAGAATTCCGATTTAGGCCAGGTGACTTCAAACCAGATCTTCCGGTTGAGTCAGGTGGTGTCACTTCACCAGTAGAACCACCGAAAGGCAGGGTAAACAGGTAACTAGCTGTTCTTTTAAGTAAGCCTTGCTGACTCGACTGTGTGCTTGACAAAGTATCTTGTCGCGTTGGTGTACTGGGTCTTGTCTCAGACGTATGTGATTTTGCTGCCTTTGGTTTTGCTGAAATTCGACTTATGTCATCAAACAGTTTACGGGCTGCAGCGCCAACTGGTGAGCGAAGGAGTGAGATATGGAGAGCATCCACAATAATGGTTGCATTCCGCTGAACTTCGGGATGTGGATCGATTGCCATTATTAGAACGTGTTTCCAAACCACAGCAAAAATGGAATTGTGAGACAAGCCCTGAGCTGTGGCTTTGATGGTACCATCCTTATTTCTGTTATCCATACGAGCATAGTGCAATCCCATTTTGTGGTCATTTCCATCGTCGAGAGGAGGGGATTGTCTATACTCTCGTTCCTCCTGTAGCTGTTCGAATGCCACTACCCAGAACTTACTCTCATATCGATGTATAAACTTAGAGAAATATACCAGCAGTTCTTTGCGGACCATGGCGTTTCCATCATTTGCTAGTTCTATGACGGTCCACGATATTGACTCCTCATTTCGAGCAACCTCATCTGTCAGGTCGGGGATTCCCAGAAAAGTTGTCATGGCGTATAACATGGCAGCTCTGACTTCGCAGCATACATCGCGAACCAGACCGGATAATTTTGCAGGTGCATTCTCTCTGATACCCCGCCATTTCGCTTCAGGGAGATCATTCCAAAGCTGACTGATACATAGACACGCCCATTGT